GAGTCCTCATGGTCCATGTGACTGTCCCTTAGGCCTTGTAATGACTTTAATGTCCTATTGGTCACAGCCAAAAACTCGCCACCGCGGAGTGTCCTTGAGACTCTCGGGGTCCAGGGAGAGTGTCCGCCCTTCCCCACCTCAGAGCACCTCCTTGCAGCTTCCTCATCAGCTGAGGCACCCCCACCCCCAGCCCCACTCGGAGCCAGAGAGGGCGAGGCTGTCCCACGTGTGGAGGGAAGTGGGGCTCGGGGATGGGAGGCCTGGAGCGCTGCTGGCTACCGAAGTGGCTCTGCCCTCGGGAGGTGAGGGGTGACCGCCAGGGACCGCCCGCCTCCGTCCTACAGCTCTAAGCTGGCCTGGGCACCAGGCTCGCTTCCTGGGGACCTTTCAGAAGAAGAGGCAGAGGAGTGGCCGAGATGGGACTGAGGAGGGAAGGATCTGCTGGCTGCCCCTGAGGACAGCAGCTCCTTGGCCGCTCCTGAGCTCCCTCCACTGTGGGGTGGGAGGGGAGGCCATGGGAGGTCTCGGGACCATGAAATCCCAGCATGAGCCTCTGCTTTGAGGGTGAGGTTTCCAGAGAAGCGGGTTTGTCTGCGGGCTCTTGACTGTGCCTTTCTGACCTGACAGCATGCTGCGTGGCCACCATGGCCGAGAGCAGCACCCGCAGGTGGCGGCTGGGTCCCATCCCCTCCCACAGGCCTCGCTGGCCCCACCGTGAATCCGAGCTTTCTAGGTTCTAGAGGCAGGGAGAGAACCCCGTCCTGGAAGCCACGCGCCATCACCCTCTGGGCCTGTTTTCTTGGGGAGCAGTATGAGGCCAAGGCCTGGTGGAAGGGCTGGGGTATGCTCAGCTTGTGGGTGGTGTGGTTGAGGCGACCTGACCATCAGGATAGGACTGCTAGCTGGAGATCACAGAGCCTGAAGCAGGGGTGTCCATGGGGCTGTGGGCTTGTCCCTCGGGGCCAGAGGAGGTCTGCCCCCCCCCCACCCCACCCCCGCCACACACACACACAGGGAACTGACCCTGCCATCACTCGTCAAGGCCAGTGGCCTGGGGAGGGGTCTGGACGTGCTCTGGTCTGGGTGGGCCGGGCTTTGATGTCTCCTCCGGTCAGGGCAGAAATCCACACTCACGTCCAGACCTCAGGCAGCCTGGTCCTGGCTCCCACGGGCCCCTGCACACCTGGCAGGTGCCGAGCTGGCCTTTTCCTCTGCCTGAGGTGGGTTTGCTGGGTGTCATCTGGTCCTGCTTGTGTGATAGAGCGTGTTGAGTTGGGGCCTCCTGCTGGGTCACATGCATTGGCCGTGTGGGGTCCTGGGTTGGTCAGGGGTGGCCAGGCTCCTGCCGGCCTGCAGCTGGGGCTGGAGGCCAGGCTGGTGGAGCGCCCTCCCCGGGGCCTTGACTTCCCGGGGCTGAGGCAGCAACAACCTGGAATGTTTGCTCTTCTTCCCTGTTATCTGTGCGGCTACCGGAAGGGCTGGGAGGAGGCAGTGTGTCCTCCCCCTGGCCTAGCAGGTCCCCGGCCAGAGTGTTGTCCCTGTTCCCAAGTACCGACGGGGAGGGCAGAGGCGGGGCAGGGATGAGCTTCAGTCCTGGCCCCAGCTCCATGCCGTTTTCCTGGATGTCACCTGGGTGCTCCCTGTATGGGGGATCTGGGGCATGGGCCGTGAGGAAGAGCCACCTCTCCTGCCTCCCCTCCCTCATTCCTCAGATGCTACTTTGTCACCTGAATGGAAAATGGGTCAGGTCCTGGCAAGGGAGGGGCCTCCCGAGCCGCAGACTGGGCGACGCTGGGCGCCTGCCTGGAGTGCAGGGCTCAGATTCCCTCCAATTCCCGATTCCCGCTTGTGCTCCTTGGGCCCAGAGGGGCCGGTCCCCTCCCTGCCGTGCTTCACTGGAGCAGCTGGTGGCCAAGTGGGGGACAGCGTGGGCCGAGCTCAGGGCTGGTGCTGCAGGCCCAGCAGGTGTGTGACCAGTGCCTGTCTTTGCAATAGTCCCTGCCCCACCCAGTGGTCTCTGAGCCGAGGGCCGAGGAAGGGGCCCAGCAGCCACCGCGGAGCCGTGACAGCCCAGGAGCTCCTTGGGGGGAAGGGCGGAAGGAGGAGGAACAAAGGCAATCGTGCTGGCGCCGCCTTCCTGCCCGCCCACCATGTGTCAGTCAGAGGCGAGGCGAGGACCAGAGCTCAGCTCGGCGAAATGGTGAGATGCTGCCAGCGGCCTCCTAACCCTGCTGTTCCCCGCCACGACCTCCACAAGGTCAGAGTTCATGTCCAGCGGCCCCGAAGTGGAGGTGGCGGCAGGGGCCCTGGGGCTCCCCCGCGGTTGGAGGGGCCCGGCCTTGGGGGCCTCAGTCGGAGAGCCCGCTTCAGGTACTGGGGAGGCGGAGCGGGCTGGTGGCCCAGGGTCTGCGCTGCACCTAAACTGCTGCACCCCCACCCCAGGCGCCCCCACCCGGATTGGGTGCAGCTCTTCCAGGATTGGTCCCTGTGCTTCTGCAGTGAGCAGGGTGGGTGGGGGCAGTGGGACGGGGAGCGGGGATTTGTCTGGCTTTTCTTGGGCCCCACCACCAACCAGATCTGTTTAAAAAACTGGGGGGCGGTGAGAGAATGAACGGGGAGTCCGCAGAGCAATGGATGCCGCAGTACCGTCCCTGAGCTGGGCCTGGCCATCGGCTCGGTTCTCTGTGTTTCCTGCTTTCGGTATCAGCTGAGCTGCCTCTTTGTTCCTTGGTTTGGTCAGCAAGGGGGGGGGGGGTGGTGGCAAAGGACACCGCTTCTCTGGGAGTGCCCGGCGCAGATGGGGGACTTAGTTTCCAGTTGAATGCAGTCCGTTTGCAGATGCTCAGGGGGTGGCAGTGTGGCCTCCTGATGGCTGCTCTAGGGCCTCGGCAGCATTTTCTGGACCTTTGGCACTGAGGGGACACGGGCCTCACTGATGTGGCTCAGGAGGCCCGGGTTCTGGGGAGAGGCTGCGCCTGAGCTGAGTGCGCTGGGCTGGGGAGGCTTGGGCCAGGGGTGTGGCAGGTTCCCCCCAGCAATTTGTGGGTGGGTTTTGGAGAAGCTGACCTGGTGTCGAGTGGCCATGCTGATGGATGGAGCAGTCGCTACGAGGGGGTTGTTTTCCTCTGTGATCTCGTCAGTCCCAGCCCCTTAACTCAGATGAGGAACTAAGAGGCCTGGAGCCATCCATTGGTTCCCCAGGTCCTCGTGGGCAGTAGCAGTAGCTCCCCCACGGTGCACGGCTATGCTGAGGGGTGCTGGGAGGTCAGACTGCCTGCTGGTGCCCCAGGAGGGTGGGGGCGAGGTGGTGCTTAGCCCTGAAGGGCCTCCCAGGGCCTGTCCCATGTTCAGAAGCCGCTTCCTCAGAGAGGTGAGGAGCTGGACCTCACGCTGCGTCTCAGCTGCCAGCAGACACCTGTCCGCCGCAGCCGGGGCAGGTGTGAGGGGCTGGGACTTGAGCTGCCAACCAGAGGCGGCCAAGCCACCGGGTCAGAATGGGGTTAGGATGCGGGGCAGGGCGGGTGCTGCTCTGAGGCGAGCTTGCTGAGGGTGGGTGGGGCTCCCAGTGCCTCCCAGACCCCGGCTGCTGACCCGTCACACGTGGACATTGCCCGCAGGTTGCACTTCCCCCAGCTGGCCCTGCGACGGAGGCTGGGACAGCTGAGCTGCATGTCCAGACCTGCGCTGAAACTGCGCTCCTGGCCCCTGACGGTCCTCTACTACCTCCTGCCCTTCGGTGCCCTCAGACCGCTCAGCCGGGTGGGATGGAGGCCCGTGAGCAGGGTAAGTGTGTGCAGGCTGCTGGCCGGGCCCACCCGGGCAGCCTGAGGTAGGGACCAGACCTAGGAGACAGTGGTCATTGAGGGCCTGGCTGTGGGGCTGAGCCTGGCAGGCGGGGTGCTGAACGGCGAGGTGAGGGCCTGCTGGCCGGTGGCTGTGGTCCTGCCGACAGGTGACTGAGGGCCGGCTCTGCCTGCATTTGTGCCATTCGGGGGCTCTGCTTCTGGAAAGAACCATACTGGGCATTCAGAAAATGGTGTCGGGTTGATTTTCTTGTTCAGGGAGGAGTGAGCTTAGAGGTAATTTTGAGAAGAATCTAAACTAATTCCTGGATGCCAGAGGGCGGTCCAGGAAGGCTGGAGCCTGTGTGGGCCCCTTGGGGAGGGGATGCCTTTGAGGACATGCAAGCCCGGGCAGTTCCCTGGAGGGCAGGTGGGCCCCAAGGAGGAGGCCCTGCTCCTGGCCCTTGGACGGCCCAGGTGGGGTGTCTCGAGGCTTGAAAGCTATGGAGCTCTGGACATTCAACCTGAGGTCACATGGCAGCTATGGCCACGCCAGTGTACAAGCGTCAGCTGCGAGGAGTTCTGGGAATCAGGCAGGCAACACCTAGAGGCGGTTAAGTTGGAATGAAATTGCTTTTACCTTGGGGGCTTGTGTTCAGACATCAGCCACCAACTAGCAATCCGATGTCGGCGGCACCTAGAAGGGTCACCTGGCCCTGAGAGGCTGGTTCCCTTGTCCCTCCTGGGAGGAGCCCCAAATGCAAACAGCCATGTGGCCTGGCCCATCCCAGGAGATGCATCTGCATGTCACAGTCCCTGACCTTGGACGGGGGAGTGGGTCCTGTTAGGACAGGGAATCACTTTGGGCTGCACTTTCCTGTCCTCCGGGGCCTCCTGCCACAGCCTGTCTGTGACGGTATCAGATCCATTTATGCTCCCTCCCCCTTCAAGAAGCAAGACTGTGCTGCCCAGTCTCGCCCCAGGGACTAGGATGGCTGCGGGTGGGTCTGTGTGAAATGACAAACACCGGCGTTGTAGTCCCGTGTCGTCTGGGCCAGGACAGTCTGTGAAACCACTTTGCAAGCTCAGTCTGGTTCCTAGTGAGAAACCACATCACAAAGCCAATGTGGGGTGCCCAAGGCCTCTGGAGGGGGCTCCCTTGGTGGGGGCAGTGGGCTAGCAGGGTGGCCGACTCACCCACCTGCCTGTGGCCTGCAGGTGGCGTTGTACAAGTCGGTGCCCACACGCTTGCTGTCGCGGGCCTGGGGTCGCCTTAACCAGGTGGAGCTGCCGCACTGGCTGCGCAGGCCCGTCTACAGCCTGTACATCTGGACCTTCGGGGTGAACATGAAGGAGGCCGCCGTGGAGGACCTGCACCACTACCGCAACCTCAGCGAGTTCTTCCGGCGCAAGCTGAAGCCGCAGGCCCGGCCCGTGTGTGGCGTGCACTGCGTGGTGAGGCCTGGTCCTGCCTTCCACTCCCCCCTCCAGAAACAGGATGTAGCCTGTGCCTTTGGGAACCAGTCCCAACAGCCCCCACGGGTGGGCATTCCTGCCCCGCGTCCTCTCTCCCCACTCCCGTCCCTGGCACTAAGACCCGCCTGCCCTTCCAGATCAGCCCGTCGGATGGGAAGATCCTCAACTTTGGGCAGGTGAAGAACTCGGAGGTGGAGCAGGTGAAGGGGGTCACCTACTCCCTGGAGTCGTTCCTGGGCCCGCGTACCTCTGTGGAGGACCTGCCCTTCCCACCAGGTGGGTCCTGGCCTGGCCGCCCTGCTGCAGTGTGGCTGGCCCGAGGTCAGAGGGTGAAGGCTGGGAACGGGTTGGGAAGTGGACACTGGGGAGGCTGTAGACACTGAGGGCTGGCCCCTGGGCCAGGGATCACTCTGCCCAGTGCTTCAGGGCCTCCCTGGAGCCCGTGTCCAGATGACACACAGGCCCCAGCTGGGGACATCGGGTGTCCATCTGATAGCCTGGCCCTGTGTCCGCCCCCGACAGCCGCCTCCTGCAACTCCTTCCGGAGCCAGCTGGTCACCCGGGAAGGGAACGAGCTCTACCACTGCGTCATCTACCTGGCCCCCGGGGACTACCACTGCTTCCACTCGCCCACCGACTGGACCGTGTCCCACCGGCGCCACTTCCCAGGTAGGCCAGGCTGGCCCGGGGCTGAGGGCTGCCTCAGCTTCTAGGTCTCAGGGACCCAGCCCCCTCAGTGTTTGCAGTGATGTGAGTGTGACCCTGGGTGGCTGGGCCTCCCGCCGGGCAGAGAGTAGCAGTGTCCCTGCTGTCACAGGCTCCCTGATGTCCGTGAACCCCGGCATGGCCCGCTGGATCAAAGAGCTCTTCTGCCACAATGAGCGGGTGGTCCTGACTGGGGACTGGAAACACGGCTTCTTCTCGCTGACAGCTGTGGGGGCCACCAACGTGGGCTCCATCCGCATCTACTTTGACCAGGTAAGCAGAACCCAGGCCACTTGGGGTCCCCTGCGCAGCCAGATCTGTCAGAACCAGAAGTTTGACCCTTGCCCCCTCGGGTGCTGATCTTGCACCTTTGTTTGTGCTGGAGAACAGTCGGGTCTTATCCCTCAGAGGCCTGCCTCGTTCAGAGCGGGCGTCGGGCACTGTGTCTGGTGAGGCACCGGCCCCTGGGCTGAGCTGCTAAGCCCACCGCCCTTTGCAAGCAGTTGGGGGCGGGCCACAGGCTGTGTCGAAGGTCCAGGGAGCCAGTCTCCACCTGCTCTGCCTCTGCCTCCCCAGGACCTGCACACAAACAGCCCGCGGTACAGCAAGGGCTCCTACAACGACTTCAGCTTCGTGACCCAGGCCAACAGGGAGGGCATCCCCATGCGCAAGGGTGAGCACCTGGGCGAGTTCAACCTGGGCTCCACCATCGTGCTCATCTTCGAGGCCCCCAAGGACTTCGACTTCAAGCTGAAAGCAGGACAGAAAATCCGATTTGGGGAGGCCCTGGGCTCCCTCTAGGCCTCTCCTGGCTGCCGCTGCTGAGGGATCTAAACAGAAATGGGAGAGTTTTTGAGAGGAACCTCCTCAGCTGTCGGGAGGGGACTCTCAGGACCAGGGGGTCTGACCAGGCAGGACCTGGGTCACTTCTGCTCCTGCTGTCCCAGAGGTGCGGGCGAGGCCAGAGCCCGGTCCTGCCCAAGACCTACGTCATCCCCTCTGCTCACCCTAAAGAGAAAGTAAGTGTCGGGCTGATCTCAGATTCCCTTTTGGAGAAGTTTTAACCCCTATTGCATAAACCAGAGACCTGCATCTCCTGGCTGAGCGTTGTTGGTCTTGGTTTGTTAAGATGGTAAGTGGTACTGTACCTTTTGCTGCTCCTCCCATCACTACTGTTGGCCTCCCCTCCTGGCACTGACTGGGCCCACCTGCCCCGAGCAGGACCGCCAGCCTGTAATGTAACTGCTTTCTGTTTCCAAACCCGGCCCACCTGCTCACTGGGAAAGCCTTCCTCTTCACACTGGTGGCGACTACGTCCCCCGACTCAGCCAGGTCTCCCGAGGATGGTGACTAGACGAGGCGCTTTGCAGACCCGAGTGACCCGGAGCTGTCAAGGCCTGTTACTGAACCCCCTGACTGGTGTCCCGTGTGAATGGGGCAGGCAGGTAGTCATGGCCACACAGGGAGAACTTACGTCCTGTCTCCCCCGCCCCCCCCAGATCCAGCCCTCCATTAAATACAGGGAAGTTGCTGCTGTTGGTTCGGGGGCGTATGCTGGAGGCAGAGGAGCCCTGGTGCACTGGGTGGGAGGCATGGCCGGTGCCTAGAAACCCTGTCCCAGGTGGTAGGCATGTGTCCTTGGGGAGCCACTGAGGTGGCCCGGGGTTCCTGTCTCCTGGGGACTCCGCATTTCTCCTGCAGGAGAAGCCATTTGAACTTTTTCAACTGTATCAGTAGCACAGTATTTTTGTATGAAGTGGGAGACTTCTGAACAGTAATTCATGTAATTGCAACATTTTGAAATAATAACTTAAAAAAGCTCATTTTACTTTACATTCTGTTCCCGGAGGCGGGCTGAGGCCGCCCTGGCCAGGGCCTCTAGCACAGGGCCCGCCGCAGGGCCTGGACACGGGCGATGCAGGTGCTGACGGGCTGGCGCCGGGCCTGGAGCTCTGCAGCCAGTTGCTGGGCCTGCAGCTCCACCTGCGGGCAGGGAAGGATGGCCGTGCTGAGAGGAAGCACAGCCAGAGCCCCTCCCAGGGGGGCCGGGGACCTCACCTCCTGCAGCTCTTCCTGCACCTGCTGCTCAGCTTCCTGGTCCTCGGGCCTGGGCTCCTCCCGGCTCAGCTCCAGCCACCGGCGCAGGCTGCTCGCTTGCCGCTGGTAGGACCTGAGGGTGAGACGCCTGCTGTTCGCCTCGGTGGTGCTCAGGCTTGGGGTGAAGCACGTGCTTCTGGTGCAGGGGTTCCTGTTCCTTCCCTGCCTCCACACTGCCCAGCAGACGCAGCTCGGATGGGCCCAGGGACCCCTTCCTGCTGCTCATGGGGAGGGTCTCCAGCCTGGCCTTGAAGGCGCAGACTCTGCACCCAGAGCACAAGACAAGCCACTGCGTGCCGCTGGGGCCCAGGCCAGTCTTGTACCTTTTCATCCCATGTCACAATCACTGGGCAGACTGCTGGCCCAGCTTTCACGTGGCCCAGTCATGTTTACTTATGCTCAGCTTTGTTGCCCCCCCCCTCACCCCACCCCCCATCCCACAGGTAAGGCCGACAGCCTTCCTGAGCAGGACTGAGGGTAAAGGGGCCACCTGTGCTCCGGGGCTGGCAGGTGAATCGCCCCAGGCCCTGGCAGCACCCCCACCTGCTCCCGTGGGCAGGGTGTTTGTGGGCCTCACCGGAGGCTCTGCTTCATGCTCTGGTAGTCCTGCAATTGCCGCTGGATGCTCTCAAGCTCAGCCTCCAGGTCGCTGTGGCCCAGGGCAACAGGACAATGAACTTGATCTTGACCACGCTCCCAGCTGGGCCCAGGCTGAATGGAGGGGACCCAGGCGCTGACAGACCTCAGGTGCACACCTGCAGTTTCAGAGCCATGCCCACCTGTGAGGGCCTCAGGAAGGAGCAGACGGGAGTCGGGGACACTGGCCAGGGATAGAGGGGCCTGGGGCATAAGGCCAGGGGAGGTCAGCCATGCTGATGCCTGTAAAGGAAGGATGGACACTAAGCATAGAGAAGCCGGAGGAAGGCTGGGACAGGAGCCAAGGCTGCCCACTGCAGGGGAGGGTCAAGGAGGCCCCAGGAGCTGGGCTTTGCAGCGCCCCTGCCCTGCCCTTCCTTCAAGGCTGACCCCAAGCAACCCAGAAGCACCCCACACCTTTGCAGTCTGGCCCACTCCACCGAGCCTGGCTGAGCACTGCTCCAAGCAGCTGCTTCAAGCCTTCCTGGCCCTAACCCCTACCTGTCTCTAGGCTGTGGCCTTGTCTTTCAGTGAGAAAGTGATCAGAGGCACTTGTAAGTGTCCAGCCACCCACCTACAACCCTCCTTCCCTCCTGGTGAGAGCACCGTCCCCTCCCCAATCTATGATTATCTCTCTCCCCCTCTCCCTTCCTCTCTAAAGTCACCCTCAGCACTCCCGTGGCTCTCGAGACCCCAGCTCCTTGGGGTGGCCCAGCCCCAGGCTGTCTCCTGCTACTGAGCACTCCTGCTCTCACGCCTCCCTGTCCCGACCCCTGATTTCTATTTTCGACTTTGATCTCCAGACCAGACTTCTTCCCTGAAGGCCAGGCTCACAAGCCTGTTACTTTATCTCAAATGTGACAGGTTGAACACACTTCATGCTTCACCCCAAATGGGACCCCAGTGTTCTTTCAGTGAAAGAACTCATTATCCCGAGGGATCCAAGCCAGCTTTCTTTCTTCCTTCACTGGCTGCAGACCCATCAGAGCAAGTCCTGCCTCTTCTGCCTCTCACCAGGGTCTTGGCCCAGGTCTGCTGCGGCCAGCACCTGCTGGGCCATCCATCACAGCAGCCAGCCAGCCTCTAGGACTTCCCTCTCCTTAAAGCCTAACTTCCAGCAGGGCCTGCATGGCCCTCTGTGACCTGCAGTCTGTCTGCTGGTCTTGTCCCCTCAATTGGGACATACGTAACCTTGGGAGCAGGGGCCTGGGCGGGGTGTTCACTCCTGTGCCCTCAAGCGGTGGCGCCTGCACTTGGTGAATGAATGTGTCCCAGAAGCAGCAAGTACAGCTGTGGCTGCAGCACCAAGTGCATGAGCCCTGAAGGCCGGGCCAAAGGATGGGAGCCCAGATGACCAGGGAGGACTCACCTCGGTGGGTGGGCCCACCCCACAGGGCATGAAGGAGGAAGGGGGCAGCAACTGCGGGCCTGTACTCGCCATGGGCACCAACTTCAGGCCAGAGGCACTTGGCAGGGCCCCAGGCTGGGGCAGGGCGCTGCTTGGAACCGGGACTGTCTGGGCCTTTTCCGAGAAGGGCCTCGTCAGGGAAGAGCCTGTGGGCGGGGCCAGGCCTAGGTCTCGCTCCCTCGGAGTCTCAGGCCTGAGCAAAGGGAAGGCAGGAGCTGGTCAGGCCTCAGCATCCTCCTGAGGAGCAGGAAGGAAAGGGGGCCACTCACCCTCAGACCCCAAATCACACGCCCTGGATGGAGGCACCATGTACTTTGGGGGCCCAAGACCCCATGACCTACCCCTGTCCCCCGAGGCTGCCACCCCCCCAGGGGCCTCTGGCTCTGCAAGGGCTCCAGCAAGAAGTTGGGACGTCGTGGCTGCTTCCTTGCGGAGCGAACGGTTCTGCTGGGAAGAAACAAGGCCTGTTCCTCAGGTTGCCCAGGGGCCTGGGACTCTGTGGGGTAGGGGTCGTCATCCAGCCCAATCCCCGATCTTGTGGGGAGACTGCAGGCCAGAGAAGGAGAGGCTCTTGCCCAAGGTCAACATGGGAGCTGGGCTAGGCCCGGGCCACACAGAACTTCAGCATCTCCATGAAGCGAGCCTGCTCCCTCACCCACATCATCTCATTTGACCTCCAGTGCCCCTGGTGATGCAGCTGCTTGTCCCACCTCACGGGGACAGGCCTGTCAGGGTCGGGCCCTGGTTAGGGTCGGGATTGGAGGGAGGGGGTGAGGCAAGCAGAGCAGGACAGGCCTGGGCCACTCCCTGCTGGCAACCTCCCGCAGCCTCAGGCAGCACGGGGCCCTCTGGGAGCAACAGCTACAGCAGCTCAGTGTGCAGCTATAGGGCAGGTGCCAGAGCATAGAAAGTGGGGTTCCCGAGAGGGGGCCCCATTTCCTGGCTGTAAGGGTTGGCGGGACACTGGCAGGCCTGGGGCAGGAGGGCAGGGCTGCCCTCCTTTTGCTAACTCCTACGCTTGGGAGGGACAAGTCCCGCTGGAGAGAAGGTTCCCAGTGTTCTCCCTGCAGGACAGGCCAAGCTTCTGCCCCAGGTGGGAGCGGAGGGGCGAGGCAAGGGGTGGCCACTCACAGCTCCAGGAGAGGGGGGTCCCCGGCATCCAGGGCCAGGCTACCCAGAGTGCCCTGTGGCCCACGAGGGGCTCGAGGCCTCCTGGTCTCCGGGGCGGCATCTCCAGCAGCAGCGCTGACGTGGTCGGGAAGGGGGCCCCTGAATGTCACTCTCCTGCTGGGCACAGTGGAGGTGGGGGGAGGCGACCGGCCGGGGCCCAGCACCTTCTGTTTCCAGAGCATGGCACAGCGGTGGACTGCCCGGTGGAGGCTGTGGGCCACCTGCAATGGCCTCTTGTCAGGTCGTGCCATGCCCTGCCCGCTCCCCTGAGGCAGGGGAACCCGGGCCTACCTGCACCTGCTGCTGGGCATGCAGCTGCTGCCGGAGGGCCTTCATGTCCGCTGTGAACCGCAGGAGGCAGGTGGCGCCCTCCTGGAGGAGCTGCTGGTGGTAGGCCTGCACCGCCCGCTCCAGCCTCGCCTTCTTCCTCCTCCTCTCCAGCACGAAGCCCAGCCACGCAGCCCACACCTCCAGGAGGGGGAGGATGTGAGGCCCAGCTTTCCCTTTAGGACCCTCCAGGGGCTATGCCCGCAGCCCACCCTGCCCTCCACCAAGGCACAGCGCTCCCCCGGGAGGAGCCGGGCAGCGGGATGCGGAGCCCCAGTACCTTTGCCTGAAGCGAGAAGGCCCAGAGCCACAGGGCCCGAGCTGTGTCCCGCTGCTCCTGCCGCCTGTTCTCCAGCTACAGCCAGAAAGAAAAGGTGACAGGGAGGGCCCCCCCGTCACTCGCAGACCCCGCTCTGCCAGGCCCCAAGGGGCTGGATGAGGGAATGATCCTCTGGGGAAGGGCACGTGGGGCAGCACGCTGGGCTGCAGAAGCACAGGGAACACCTCCACATGGCGGTCGGAGGCTCAGCAGGACGCTGGCACGTGATGGTTGGCGGAGCAGGGCACAGGCCCACCCGGCGTTTTGCCAAGACCTCACCAAGACTTAAAACGCGTCTCGTGCCCTGGGTGGTTTGGCTCAGTGGATAGAGTGTTGGCCTGCAGACTGAAGGGTCCCAGGTTCGATTCTGGTCAAGGGCATGTGCCTGGGTTGTGGGCTCGATCCCCAGTAGGGGGTGTGCAGGAGGCAACCAATCTATGATTCTATTTCTCTCCCCCTCTCCCTTCCTCTCTAAAGTCAATAAAAATATATATTTTTATAAAATGCGTCTCATGTTGACTTTTGGATATTATCCTGACGTATTTTTAATGAGACACACAGAAACAGGGCCCTGAAGAGGCTTGGCCGTATAGTCACGGGTGGACGGAAGCTGGCGCTGCCCAGCAATATCAGGGGGAGCTCTGGGGCGAGGGCTGCTCGGCTCCCACCTGGTGTCGCCACTGGCGGAAGCAGGACCGGCTGAGTGTCTGGGCCCGGAGCTGGGCGCCCCGCCTCTGCAGCAGCTGGAAGAGAGGACACACGCATGGGAGATGCTTCCAGTGCTACCAGGTGCCCTTGCCCAGACCACCGGGGCAGCCACAGGTGAGGCTCCCCACCCAAGCGAATGGTTCTCCCATTGCCAGGTGCCCCGGCTCGGACAGGCCATGATTCCGAGTGAGCCAGGTTTCTCTTTCACCTGGAGAGACCCCTTTAACCTCGGTCCCCCCAGCCATGCCTGGAGGCTCCTGAACCGTGTGCCCACAGGACCTGAGACCACCCGGCACCCGACTGGTACTGTGAGTTCTGCAGAAAGGACCTCTCCTCCCCGGAAGCGCCCTCCTCCTGGCCTGGGAGGCTCCACCACACAAGGGAACGGAGGGGGGGGGGGGTTGCCGCTGCCTCACCCTCTTCCTGACGCAGCCTAGGTGGTGCACTTTCCAGCGGGCCAGGCCCTGCAGCAGAAGCTGCCGACAGTAATGCCGCGCCGCCCTCTCCAGCTGGGCTCGCTGCTGGGCTACCCTCCGGCCCCGGGCCCGCCAGCGCCGAAACCAGGTCCTGAGACAGCCTACGGCAGGTCCGAGTCAGTGTGCTCTTTGGTCAGGTCTATATGAACGACTATGTCATGGGCAAAGCTGAGCGTGGAGAATGGAGAAGGCCCTGGGGGGCAGTGTTGGGGTGTCAGCCACACGGGGTGAGATCACCACAGATGGACACGCCTCTGAGGACAGCTCCGGGCACCTCAACAGCCGTGAGCACCGGGACCGGAACCAGGCCTGCTCTCTGCTGGTGCGCCTGTCCCGTGGGCCCATGAGCCTCAGAGACCACAGGTGTGTCAGGGCCCACAGGGCTGCACGAGCGCCTCATGGCCCGGAAGGCCCTGGGCCCAACAGACGGCCTGCTCTGCGGGAGGAAACCGAGGCGCAGAGACCGGCGAGCAGCCGAGCCAGGCAGGGCCGTGGCCTGCATTCTTTCTATGTCACCAAGTCTCACTTTCTCCTGCTCATTATTTTACTTTGGATTTTTCCTTTTCTCAGGCCCTGAGAGAAGTGTCTTTCAGAGATAACAGAAGAGGGTTGATACCAGGGCACTGATGCCAAGATAGGGTGCCCTCCAGCACCCACGGGCGGGGCAGGGAAGGCTGCGCTCACGGGCCTGGAGGCCAAGCGTTAGTACTAATGCCGACACTGCCTGGTCCTCATGGCACCCCGAGACGCAGGGAGCATTGTCCCCACTTTACAGATGGAGAAATGGGGGCTCCGAGGACGGGCCCAGGTTGCATCTGCAGTGCTGTTACCTCAGCAACAGGAAACCCACACAGGAGAGGAGACAAGACTGCAGGGCAACAAGCGTCGGGGTCCTTCACACCCTTCCCTCAGCTCCAGGGCCCGCTTACCCCTCGCCAGCACCCGCTGGGCCTCCCGGAGGGCACAGTCCGCCTGCTCCCGGCAGTAGATCTGCACCGCTGCGGCCTCCCGCCACCGGGTCAAGACCTGCGGGCAGACGAAGCGCAGAGGGGCGGTCACAGCGTGTCCGACTTCCTGGGGACACCGTGCTCTGCTGGCAGCTCCTCAGGGAAGGAGGCCACGCGCAGACATACGGCGCTGCCACACGTTCCAGGAGGCACATGCCACCCACAGGCAGGCAACAGGGGAGCCCAGACCTCAGGGGCGGCCTTCCCTACCAAGAGTTAACCGTCACCCCGCGCCATGAGGACGCGAACGGGCTTCCATTCTGATATGGAGACTATACGTCACGTGTACACTTCCTATGAGACTTAACGAAGTCACAGTATAGGACACTTTGAAAAGAAGTCGAACATCCAGGGGACACCTGGTGCCTGCTCCCCAAATGATCACAAACTCCATTCACCCCAAAAAGGCCGTAAAGCCAATCAGAGTCCTGACCCTCCCTCCAGGACAGGGGACCCGCATGCCGGCCTCGGTGCTTTCCTGAGAACAGCCTGGGCCGGACCACACATCGCTCTCCACCGCGGACGTGTCAGAGTTGTCAGGAGCTGCCCCTACCAGGCCTGCCAGCTGGGCTCCCGCAACCGCTTCCTTCTAAAGCGTCCCTGCGCCCAGGGCCACCTGTCACTTGAGTCCCTTCTGTCTTGTAACAGGTCGTCTTCCCACAGCCACGTCCTGCCACACCCTCCCCCCCCAGCATGTGAAACCAGGCCCCACAGTGTGGCATTTGGGGGCCACTTCCCACCGATGACGACCAACAGCCTCACATTCCTGGGATGCCCTAGGCCAGTGGTTCTCAACCTTCCTAATGCCGCGACCCTTTAATACAGTTCCTCGTGTTGTGGTGACCCCCAATTTCATTGTTACAAATTGAATATAATTAAAGCATAGTGATTAATCACAAAAACAATATGTAATTATATATGTTTTCCTATGGTCTTAGGCGACCCCTGTGAAAGGGTTGTTCGACCCCCAAAGGGGTCTCGACCCGCAGGTTGAGAACCGCTGCTCTAGGCTTTCCCGTAAGTCCCGCAGCCACAACACCTGAGGCCGAGGAGCAGGAGCCAGTGTCCTCTTCGCTCAGATGGCACCGTGACTGCCGGTCTGTCCCGTGGGAAATCCCACACATGTGGAAAGTACTAGTTGTGACACAAGCAGCTTGCTCACTAGGTGCTATTCTGTTTTAATGAACACTGGCTCATAATTCAATAAACAGAAAGCCCGTCTGCTCACATGGCGAGGACGTTACCCCGTTTTCTAGTTCCTTGTTCAGTGCGAATCCCTGGCACCACCTCCCACGCCACCGCCTTGCAGAGCCCTCACCTTGAGGCACAGGCCCCTTCGGTAGTGAGCCCTCGCTCGAGAGGTTTTCCTTGCTTCCTCCATGCAGGCCGCTGCATTCTCCCTCCAGCGACGTAACACACACCTACAGGCGCACAGGCCAGGACAGGGGCGGGGGACACCAGTGTGGAGAGATGGGGTGAGGTTCCTGGGAATCACTGCTGGTTCCGCGGCCCCCTCCCAGCCCCAATCAAGGACGCCCTCTGCCCAGAACGTTTCCCCACGGCCGTGTTTATGTTGACTGGGACGTGCTCCCCACGGCTGCTGAGCCCTGCCCTGTGCCGGGATGGGGCAGCCCTGGGGACCATGCAGTGGACAAGACCAAAGGCCACATCCTCGCACATGTGTGCGCTCCAGGAAACACAGCGTTGTAACAGGTGATGACAGGACAGGAGAGTCATGCTGTGACCCAGGAGTCAGTGCAGGGCTCCCTCTCCCCATGCCACGCTGTCTGGGGAGCTGAATGGACATACAGGCCCCTGAAGGAGGGACAGTGGTGTTTAAAGTCCCCAGGCCCCTCACGCACAGGTGGCCTGACACAGTGTGCAGTGAACAGACACAGGAGGAGGAAACGGAAGGGCGGACGGAGGGAGGCCTGCGGTCGGAGTGAGTTCAGAGCGTGGCTTAGCAGGACTGGAGGACGGGCTGGGGGACTGGCGCCGAGCAGTGCAGGTGACCAAAAGCGTCCCAGACACAGAGGGTGCTGGCGGCGAGAGGTGCTGCAGGGAGTCAGGGAAAGGTCTGGAGAGCCAAGCGGGGAGGCCACTGACTGGGAGCTGAGAGGCCACGGGAGCCATTGCAGCCTCTGGAGCCGGTGCCTCCTTCAGGCCTGAGGTGGAAGGGGGGGCGCTCAGAGCAGGGCACGTGGGGCCCTCAGACACGCAGGTGAGATGCTTCCCAGGGGCCCGGCCCTGCATGTAGCAGGGGCTCTGGGCACAAGGGGGGAACCGTGAACGGAGCGCTGGCTGTGGAAAAGCCAGAGCTACGCTGTGAGCTGCACGCGGCAGCCAGGCCTGTCCTGTGCCTGCCCCGGACAAATCTCTCCAACCTGCCTGGTCAGGAGCCTGGCCCCCACGCTCGGGCGGCCCGGGACCCAGGAGACTCACCGCAGCAGCTGCCTCTGGTGCTGGCTCTCCCTGGCCGCCACCTCTTGAAGGACGCTCCGCACGCGGCTCTGGTAAGCCTGCAGGAGACCAGGACTGGAAGCCGCCCTGGGCCACAGCTCTCTCCATTCCCAGGCCGCAGGGGTTCTCCATGCCCAGAGCTCGCACCCACCAGAGGGGCAGAAAGGCCACAAAGCCCCCGGCTGGGAGACCACCCGACAGCAGGGCGAGGACTGTCCCCCTCAGCCTCACCCACAGTCAGACCCCTGGGCTCCTGGGCACAGGCCACTCTGAACAGAAGGCTGGAGCCTAGACAGCCCCTGTGTTTACTTTTCTGGTTTGTGTTTGCTGAGCGAGGAGGGAAGGACTGAGCCCTGTGCTGTAAGACCCCGCCCAGGGCACTCGCTCTGGTGGAATGACTGCTCTGAGGGGCGGGAAGAACAGGAAGGGAACCGCCTTCAAGGCAAGGGGGCGAGGAGGAAGCAGCAGCACCTACCCCCCAGGTGTGCAGCGCCCGGTGCAGCAGGGTGTGCTGGTGGTGCAGGTCTGCGCGCATCAGCTTCTGCCGCTCGGCGCCCCGCAGAGTCAGGCACTGCGGACAGAGGCCCGGCCAGAGGGGAGGGCCGAGGAGGGCAGGCTCAGCTTTGCCTCCAGGTACACGCAGCTTGGGTGAGCTGGGGGAGGGCAGGACACCTGGGAGCCCCCGCTCCCTCATCTATAAATAGGTACCGTTGGGGGTTTTGCGGGGATCAATGGGGCCAGGGCCTGACTTGGGATAAATGCTTCGGCAATGAGAGCGTGAACGTTTCTGCCCAGGGCTGGGTGCCTATCATGGTTAGACCAGGAATTTCAGGCTCAGGGAGTTCAGGTAGGAATAGCCCAGCACGTAAGAGAACAAGGAATTCTGAGTCTATCATCTCGGGAGGCCAGGTTCATGTTTTCATCTGCTGCCCGGCCCCACCCCACGCTCAGAGGCCTGAGGTCTCAGAGGGACGGGGGATGAGCCCGTCCTGCGGCTGAGTCACTGACGCCCAGCTCCACCTGTCCCCAGCCACACGGGATGGCACCTGTGCCAAAGCTCACCTCCCTCCACCGGTGCCAGGCCCCGCGCAGGAGCCGAGCTGAGAGGAACGCTGCCGCCAGCACCCCGCCCGTCTTCCTGTGGGGAGAGAGTGGACACTCAGAGCTGCACCCAGACCAGCCAGGGCCCAGCCGAGGGTGCCCCTCACACTCCCTGGCTCCTGCCTCGTGGTTCTTAAATGTGGGGGAGTCAAGCTTCACTCTGAAGAACGGCCAAAGGTTTTGGGCTCTTCACCCAGGAGCGTGCACGTGTGATCACGTCTTTGCAGACGACCTCACGGGGTTCCAAGTACCACCGAGGCCTAGTCACGTGCAGGAGGCGGCATGTGGCCGAGCTGAGTGGGGGAGAGCCTCACAGCCCCAAGGGGATCCAGAAAGGCCCGAAGCAGGACAGTGCCTGCAGTGCGCCCGCAGGCTCTGTCCCCACTAACCACGTGTTAGGCAAAACCTGCCGCCCGTGGCCCTGGCTACAGCTCTGCTCCGTGCTGGGGAGGGTCAATGACCCCCAAGGAAGCCCGTTAGTCTGTCCCTTGGCCACGGTCACTTCACATGGGCCCCAACCAGCAAGCAGGATGCGCCCACGCACAGGACCCAGATGCACAGGCACATGAGGGTCCTCTCACCACAGCCCTGGTTGTGCTCAGACTGTTTCAGATTGAATTTCCGGAACTTAAAACCAGAGTCTAGGCCAGTGATGGCGAACCTTTTGAGCTCGGCGTGTCAGCATTTTGAAAAACCCTAACTTAACTCTGGTGCCGTGTCACATATAGAAATTTTTACAAAGACTTATATTTTTGATATTTATTTTATATATTTAAATGCCATTTAACAAAGAAAAATCAACCAAAAAAATGAGTTCGCGTGTCACCTCTGACACGTGTGTCATATGTTCACCATCACTGGTCTAAGCTAATGTGACCCTCTGCCTGGGCACTCAGATCTGACAGTGCTGCTACTACAATCAAAGCTGGTCTGAGCCCGGACGGTGTGGCTCAGTGGTTGAGCATCGACCCAGGAACCAAGAGGTCACCGGTTCAATTCCAGGTCAGGGCACATGCCCGGGTTGTGGGTCCCCAGGAGAGGGTGCGTGGGAGGCAGCCAATCAAAGATTCTCTCTCATCATTGATGTTTCTACCTCTCTTTCCTCTCTCTCCAAAAAGCAATAAAAACATTAACAAAAAAAAAAAAAAGCTGGTTCGAGATGAGAAAAGCCAGAGGCAGAAAAGCGACCACTCACTCTGATCTGAGCCCTCGGGCGCTCTCCCTCCAAGTGGAGAAAGCCGTCCTGAGCCTCGCCTGGCGGTGGTGGGCACGGGCCACTGCTTGCCACTGCCGCTCCTGGCGATGTGCTGCCGCCCGCTGGTGCCACGTGGACCAGCACCTGCACAGGAGCTGCCGCTCCGCGTGAAGGATGGCCTGCGGCAGGATGGCAGGGAGAGAACAGAAGGGGTCAGGTCGGAGGGGTACCGGAGCCAGGACGACGAGGCAGAAGAAACAGACACTCAGGAGCCAGCTGCCCTCGCCCAGAAGCCACCTGTGCAGAGGAAACCAATGCCCCAGACCCTGACCCTGCCCTGAGTCCTGGTCACAGGCCGGACGTCCTTAAGGGGGTCTGGGTCCCAGGCGACGTCCTGAGGAGAGGAGGCAGTGAATGCAAAGGCTTGGATCGCACCTCCTCAGGGGAAGCCACGTACCATTCTCTCTGCCAAGCGGTGTTCTTGATGCCGAAACATCTTCTGCCACCAAATAGCAAATACTTGCTTCTCTAATGTCTCCCTATGTAAATAATAATAATAGAATGAGAAGTTCCAAATGGATTTTCCTCTTACACTGTGCTTTTAAGAGACAAATAAGCTTATCTAGGGAGAAAGAAAAGGGGAAGAACAGGAAAAATAGCCAAAAACCCCACAACCACCCAATTCTTTCCAAGTATTTCTGGTGCCAGCCAGGCACCCAGAGTGTGAGCAAGACTCTGAGACTGTTCTTCTCCAGTCCATGCTGAGTTACCGCCAGTGCTCACGGTTCCTAGCGAAAGCTGCTCCAGGCCAGGCTGACCTGCAGGACACACATCCTTGGGCAAAGCCGTGAAAAACAGATGCCTGGCCCTAGTTGGTTTGGCTCAGCAGATAGAGCGTCGACCTGCAGACTGAAGGGTCCCGGGTTCGATTCCGGTCAAGGGCACATGCCCGGGTTGCAGGCTTGATCCCCAGTAGGGGACGTGCAAGAGGCAGCCAATCAATGATCCTGTCATCATTGATATTTCTATCTCTCCCTCTCCCTTCCTCTCTGAAATCAGCAAATATATAAAACAAAACAAACAAACAAAACAGATGCCTGGCCCCCAAGGCTGCTGAGCAGGCCTGAGGCTGCCCCGGAAGCAGCCGGCAGACAGGGAGGTAAGTGTGGGAACCACTGCTCTGTCACCTCTAGACGAGACCTAGACTTTTCACTGACCACTGAGTGAAGCATGTAAACATCTGATCACCACGTTGTACACCTGAAACAAATGTAATACTGTGTGTGAACTGTAACTGAAAAGTGTGTTTTTGTTAATCCTCACATGAGGACATTTTCCCGTTAAGTTTTAGAGAGAGTGGAGGAGGGGAGAGAGAAAAAGAAACATCCATGTGAGAGAGACACATCAACTGGCTGCCTCGCCCCACCTGCCGAGGATCGAATCCTCCTAGTCAAGATCACGGCCACTTCTCCCAATATGTGTCCCTCCCTCCCGCCTCTGTCCTAAGCTGACCTACACCATTACTCAGGGCAATCTCCAAAGCTGTCATTTCACTGGCTGCACGCATCTGCCCGTGACTGATGCACAGGATCAGGCCATCGCCTCAGTCCTGTCCTCCTCATCTGTCCACTCGGCCACCCATCCCCAGCCCCCGGCTCACAGCCACACCTGCCCCGGGTCCTTCCCTCAGCACTAGCGCTGAGCCCTCCAGCTTGTGGCTGACACAGCTGAGGACACGAGGATCTGATCTCTGGAACTGTTTGTTCTTCAGTAGTTTCTTGCGTAACAGTCTTATCTCCCGCAAAGTCTTTAGAAAGAGCTCCCTCCCTGGACTTTGGAGTCGGGGAGCTGAGTTTAAACCCGGGCTCTGCTAACGACGGCCTGCGTTACTGGGTGGGTCATTTGCCATGTGAACTGGTTCTCTCAGGAGTGTTGGGAGATGGACGTTATTAACGCGATGACGATGGCACAGGCACACGAGTCTCTCGATTGGTGGCTTCCTTTCTCCCATCACACTCTGCCCACCACAGTGGCAGACACACAGCTAGCGGTGAATCATTCCAATACATTCCACCCACATGCAGGAAGGACCTGCTGTTGGGCGCGTTTGCCCCTGTGGCCACTAAAAAGAGGTAGCTCTGCTCCTCGCCTGTCCTCATTTCAAGACTCCACAAAGTCAGGTCTAGCGGAGCAGGGACCACACGCTGCAGGGAAATCACACTCCAGGGGGCCTGCCAAAGCAACGCAAGGTCCCCCACACTCGGATCCAGACGCTCATGGGCAGTTTTAATGGAACGCACTGTGGCTTGTAATGAGGGCAGGGACATAAAACCCAGCCTGCTCGGAAAGCATTTGCAATGAAGCTGGACAAACGTTTCCCTGGGGAGGAGGCTGGCCGTCTTCCTGCGAGATGAGATCAGTGAGAGCACATTGATTTCACAGAGAAATCAATTAGAGAAAATCCAGGAAGAGCCTGGGCCCGGGGGCTGCGAGGCTGAAAGGCACCACAATGGCCGTGTGGTGGCCGAGTCAGACCCTGACGCCGCCCTGCCCGTACCTGTGGAAGCGTGCTGCTCTGGCCTCCAGGACGCTCTCCTGCAGGCGCCATCGCCACAGTCTCCTCCACGCCTGGAAGGCTGCGGGCAGGGTTCTCTGCTGGAAGTGCCTGTCTGCTCTGGCCTGTAGCAGCTGAAGTAAAACGAGTGACCTTTACTTGTACTTTACATTAAAAAAGAAAATGACCTTTCTCTTTTTATTGATTTCACAGAGGAATGGACAGGGAGAGAGAGAGAGAAACATCAATGATGAGAGAGAATCATGGACTGGCTGCCTCCTGCAGGCCCTACACTGGGGATCAAGCCTGCAACCCGGGCCTGTGCCCTGACCGGGAGTCAAACCGTGACCTCCTGGTTCATAGGTCAATGCTCCACACTGAGCCACAGCGGTTGGGCTACAAGAATCTTTTCAAAGCAAAGGAAACGTAACTAGAGTGTAAGCCAGCAGAGCGACCTGCGGTGAAGTGCTCCCTACCTGCTTGTCTCGCCTCTTCTGCATACGCTGTAACCACCACCTGACACACCTGCGTAGCAATGTTCTTCTGAAATAAAACACAGAACACCAAGGTGCTGCCCAGCCCGCTTCCAGGTTCCTGCGTTTCTGTTTTGTTCTGAATCAGGTAGATTCAGTGTAGTTATATCATGAGTGTTAAAGGCACTCCATGTGTTTCATTCTAGGAGACCCCCAGTGGGGGGTCGTGCAGGAGGCAGCTGATCTGTGATTCTCTCTCACTGATGTTTCTGTCTCTTCATCTCCCTTCCTCTCTGAAACCAATTAAAAATAATAAAATAAAAAGACACCTGTCCTTCTCTCACCACTCCCCTTTTTTTTAAAAAAAAAAAAAAAAAGGAAAAAATGCTCCAAAATCAGACCTATAACTTAGGTGGATTAAAGTGGCTTTTTAAGGGGGATACACTAAACAAGTCTGGCAGCAAAAATTGATAGTGGTTACCTCTGCAGCGCAAGACCAAGGGGTTGGAGGAGGGTCCCAGGTAGCTTTTATTTAACTCTCTACCTTCCTTCCTAGACACCGAGTTTCTCCTCATGGACATGTGTACACTCACATATTTATTTTAACGGAACGATTAACTCTAAAAAACTGAGGACACTCTCTGCACCCCTCAAGACGGCACCACAAATATGCCCCTGGCCTGAGCCTTCTTTTTTTAAATTTTATTAATCTTTTACAGAGAGGATGGGAGAGGAATAGAGAGTTAAAAACATCGATGAGAGAGAAACATCGAATAGCTGCCTCCCGCACACCCCCCACCAGGGATGTGCCCGCAACCAAGGTACATGCCCTTGACCGGAATTGAACCTGGGACCCTTCGGTCCGCAGGCCAATGCTCTATCCCCTGAGCCACACCGGCCAGGGCCTGAGCCTTCTCTTTAACAGCACTAACGCATGACTTCTACAACGTGAACACCATTAGAGCCCCAAGGACTGAGGCGGCGAGCCAGCAGGCACATGCTTCAAACCACGGTGGCCAAGAGCCGGTACAAACATCCTCATTCTACCTCTCCTCTGAGCAGCCAAGAGAACACAAGCTCAGGACCAATGGTTACCGCAGGGCCTGCCTGAACCTGCTCAGGGGCACACGGAGGGGTAAGCACTCACTCCTGGGGAACAGCGAGTCTGTCCGGGCGGTCCCAGGAGAGCCCCAGGCGAGGGCCAGAGTCTCTACCTGTGGTGGTCCCAGGCAGCCTGCAGTAAGGGGCGCTGCTCTCTCTCCTCCCTCTGCTCGATCCGAGACTGCCAGACGTTCCAGAACCGGCGCAGCAGCTGAAACAAAACAGAAAAGAAGCAAAAATTTATTACCGCCAACTAATCTCTCTTAGCCTATTAGCTAGCAAACCCCCACACCAAAAGACTGTAAGGTCCCCAAAGCAGGAATGACCTCAATTGGGAACACGCAACATACAACAGGCTTGTGGGACGACTAGGGTGAGGCTACATGGAGCTATTCTGGGCCAACCCAAAATGCAAAAGGAAGGGTCTTCCAATCTATGGAAATCAGGAGCTACTTCTCATCAGGGCCTAGCGGCCGACAATGCTGTTGTAGAAATTAGAAGCGATCTTAGCACATTTTACTGCCTATGAAGTAGTCTTGCCAAAAAAAAAAAAAAAAATGTTTAGCTTCAATTTCATCAAGCTCTTAGATCTGACTTCTAGTTTATGGGAGTTACACAGAAAGAAAAAAGGAAAATCAAATGTCATCCAAAGGAAACAGATAAATCGAGAACATTGGAAAACTGTACAAAATAACTGGTGTTCCTTTTCAAAAAGTCAATGTCATTTTTAATTTTTTTAAAAATATATTTTATTGATTTTTTACAGAGAGGAAGGGAGAGAGATAGTTAGAAACATCGATGAGAGAGAAACATCGATCAGCTGCCTCCTGCACATCTCCTACTGGGGATGTGCCCACAACCCAGGTACATGCCCTTGGCTGGAATTGAACCCGGGACCTTTCAGTCCGCAGGCTGATGCTTTATCCACTGAGCCAAACCGGTTTCGGCTCAATGTCATTTCTTAAAAAAAAACCGTGTACATGATGCTGAGTGAAGTAAGTCAGTCACAAAGGGCTAGTACTGCAAATAGGAGGGACCCAGGGCAGTCAAATTCCTAGAGACAGGAGAATGGCAGTTGCCAGGGGCTAGGGAGAAGGAGAATGGGAGCTGTTCAAGGGGGACAGCGTTTCAGTTTTGCAAGATGAGAAGAGTTCTGAGATGGTGGTGGCTGCACAACAATGTGAATGTGCTTAATGTCACTGGACTGTAAACTTAAAAATGGTTAATATGATACATTTCATTATGTGTATCAAACTACTCTTTATGTTTTTCTATGCATTTGAACATTTTCACAATTAAAAACAAAGCAAGAGCCCTGGCCGGTGTGGCTTTGTTGGTTGAAGCATCATCCTGTGAACTGAAGGGCCACAGGTTCGATTCCAGGTCAGGGCACGTACCCAGGTTGCAGGTTTGATTCATAGTTGGGGCGACTACAGGAGGCAACCAATCGATGTTTCTCTCTCTCTCTAAAAACTCAATAAAAAAAAAAAGACAAAACAAGAAAACCCCATCCTTCTGCACCCACAAACACAATCTCTAAGTAGAGACAGAATGTTTGTCGTCCTGAGGTAACACCCCTGACGAGAACAGTTGTACAGACAGACGTACAGTGCAAACCAACCAGAGCTGCCTGGAGTGGGGGCTTAAACCATATTCACTGGGTCAGGGTTGGAAGCCACAGTCCCTGACCTGTGATTCAAACACCAACTTTCTTAGCCAACAGATAAGAATCGGGATTAAACCAGGGTTTCTCTATTGGCTGGGATGGAGTATTGAGGAGACGAGCACCAAGGTTTCAGCATCTATGGGTCTGGGGACAAATCCGTAAACACAAAGGTTAACAAGAGAAGGGCCGCCAGGAGGGCCCCTGCGGCAGGAGAAGGCCCTCACCCCGACGTCGTGCTGCTGGTGAGCGAGATTCCTTCTCATGCGCTGGAGGCGGGCGCGGGTCACGTTGCCTCTGAGGGCTCTAAAGCAGAAGTGCTGTGGAGGCAGAAGGACACACGGGTCACCCATGTGAGCGGCTGCAACAGTAACAGCAGCGCCCGAGTCCGGTGGCCAGGAGCTCAGTCACAGCTGCTCCCAGGTCCCTGAGAGCGTTTCTCTGCTGTGTGTCAACTGGGAGTCTGATGCACACACAGTAGGTGAGGCCGCACAGTAGGCACTTAATAAACAGCTGAGGAACCCCTCCCTGCTGTGCACAGTGATGCACAGGAACAACACACCCTCCCACTGACCAACAGAGACCCCATGGCCCAGATGGGAACACCACAGACAAAGGTGGAAAATATCAACTTTGCCTCTCAGGACGGAGACAGACTGTTAGCCTATGATGTTTTGTTTTAAACTACATGCGGTCACGTCGATACCTGCAATTATAAATGCAGTTTTGCAAGAGTGGAAGGGAAGGAATCCTTGGTAAGTCAGGGGTTGGGGAAGGGGCAGGACACGTGGGCCTGGCTCCAGTCCCATCGATGTCTCTCCTGTGGCCTAAGCCAAGCCCATTCCCCCACAGCCTGGGCTTCAGTTTCCCGAGACAGAAGTGAAGGGATCAGGGGTTCTCACACTGTGCTCTGTGGAGCCCCCGGGACACTGAAAGTGTTGGCGAGGGTCGGGGAGAGAACAGGTTCTATGCCCAGACCTTCCCCCATCCTCCGCATCTCTTCTTTGATCAATTTCACAGATTAGGCTTCCACCATTAAACAGGGGCCCCCGTGTACCAGTAAAAAACCCCAGGACTACAACATCCCTAAGATTCCTTTACAGTTCCAAACCCCTCGGGCCACCCCATTACCATCTCTGATGCAGAGTGAAAACAGGGACACCCACATAGGGGAGGGCCCCACATAGGGGAGGGCTCCACATAGGGGAGGGCTCCACGGTGACGCCCACATAGGGAGGGCTCCATGGTGACGGTGACGCCCACATAGGGGAGGGCTCCACGGTGAAGCCCACATAGGGAGGGCTCCACGGTGACGCCCACATAGGGAGGGCTCACATGCCCAGAGGCACTGAAAGAGCATGTGGGTCCAGGGCCCCTGAGTGGAGCAGGGCCACCCGCTTACCAGCAAGCGGCGCCGACAGTGCTCCTCTGCCCACTTCCACCGGGCAGCGTCCTCTGCACACAGCAGCACGTCCGCCAGGAGTTAAGGCCTCTCGTCTCCTCAGGGTTCCCACCCCCACACGGTACAATCCTGCTGACCCACCGAAGGGCTCTGGCTGCAGGGATTGAGGGACTCTTTTGTATGAATAGCCCCAATTAAACGAAAATTTCTAAAAGAAGTCAACAGAGAGCAGGACTACGAAAGTGTTCAGAACTGCTGCCCGTGTGTCCCGACCCTTGTCGTACAGGCGGCTGAGCTCACGCGGCCCCGGCTGGCAGTGGACGGGCCGCGGGGCTGAAAAGGATACAGTGCTGCCAGTGAGTGAAGGCCCGCCGCAGCGCCATCCTGCCGGCCAGCGCCTGCACCCGGGCGTGGCGAGCGTGCCAGCTCTGCCTCCACTGCCAGGCCCACTGCCAATCACAGAAGTGCGTCTGAAGCACCGTGACGCGGTGGAATCGCTCAGCCATCTCTGCAACACAGAACGTGACTTCGCTGCTGCCCCTCCCGCCTGGGCAGTGAGCAGGCAGCATCCCTCATACCAGCTGACCCCACCACAAGCAGACAGCAGGGCTCCAAGCAGTTCTCACGAGGAACCCTGGACAACATGGTTTCTGAACATGGGAGGGACCTCAGGAATCCCTTCATCACATCTCTTCTGTCCAAGAAAAGAGAAAAGGTGTGGCATCTCAGGGAAGAGGATGCTATGAAATCAAAGCGCTGAGGCTCCTAGTCACTACTGACGAGTAAGAACGGTGACTGCTGCTTTCAGACTCCGCTCTATTTCTGCCTCTTGGCTAATGTCTCCTGGACAGGACTTCAGGGACCGAGTCCATGACACACCATTCGGTCAACTGCTAGCCACGGCTTGTGGAGCTCTCCGTCAGGCTGATGCAGGCTGCCAGCTTCACTCCCTTTGAACACTGACTAGCTAAGGGCCTGAGGAGCTGATGTTCGGGAAGTGAAAGGGAGTGGGTCCTGGACGAAATGTTGTAACTGGAGGAACGTTAGTCTGCAGCTCATCACTCCTAACGCTCTGGGCTTGGGCAACCAGGCAGTGGTCCCCTGTCACTATTCTCAAAGGACACATTCACTCTCCCCAGAGCGCAGCAGCCTAGAGATTTCTGCAGGGAGGTTGAGGTGAACGCTGGAGAGCCCGACCCGGCATCGGGCACAGAGCTTGAGTCACTTCTGCGTACGCTGAAGAAACGAAAGCACAGAAGTACCGGTGACCATGACCTATGCATGTATTATTACTTCTGAACTCTCACTGGTAAAGAAACGAATGGCACAGAGCTAACACGACTCACCATCTAAATCACAGGCATCCCTGTAACTGGGGACAAACAGAACAACCCAAATACCCATCGACAGAAGAATGGCTACGGTAGATTAAGATAAGCCACCCTATTAAGTACAGCCACTAAAAAGAATGTAGCATTTATGAAGAATAAAGACACAGGGAAGTACAGGTTAGTTGTATGGGGAAAAAAGCCACATACAAAATTGCATGTATCATATTAACCATATATAGTTATAGTATCTTTAAAACTCTACTGAAATCCTAGCTGGTTTGGCTGTGGATAGAGAGCTGGCCTGCAGACTGAAGGGTCCCAAGTTCAATTCCAGGCAAGGGCACATGCTCTGGTTATGGGCTCGATCCCCAGTAGGAGTGCAGGAGAGGCAGCCGATCAATGATTCTCTCTCATCATTGATGTTTCTCTCTCTCTCTCTTCCTCTCTGAAATCAGTTAAAAAAATATTTTTTAAAACCCTATTGAATAAAATATATGCACAGAAGAAAAATAAGTGTAAATTGAGGATTACGTACTTTCCTCCTCAATCTCCCTTTACCAGGACTTGGGGCACACTCTGGTGCTCTCTCTCCTTAATGAATTAGCTCCACTGGCGGAAGGAAAGTGGAAATTGTGACCCGACCCTCTGTCTCTCGAGCCCGGGACTTCCCGCTCACCGTTCTGCTGTCTCTTTACCCTCCGGGCCTGCAGGTAGTCAAGCCAGGCCTTCAGACATCTGCGCTTCTGCCAGTGCTGATGGTGTTTCACTGCGCAGACCAGCTTCTGTCTCTCTCTCTGGACATGCAGGAGCTGTTCCTGCCACCGTGACCAAGCCTGAAAAACAAAGAAAAGACGACGATCAAAAAGGAGAGGCAGGAAAGCAGAGGTGAAGTACAGGTGAGGGAAACACACACACACACACACACACGCACAGGAAAGGTAAAAATCAGACACAAGGAAGTGGCAATCCCTAAGCAGGACCATAAGCTATGGGAATTTGGGAAGAAAGGATCTTTAAGAGGGTCATTCTGCTTCCAGAAAGTAAGTTTTTTTTTTTTCTGGATAAAGAACAAAAATAAAAATGAATCATCAAACCAACGAGCAGACAAGAAGCAGGGACAAGCGCAGGGGTGACCTGATGCATTCGGATCTGGGACAGGTGAGAGCCTGCCTTTTACTCCTCAGTGGGAGGAGCCTACTGTCAAGAGGCCCTTTCTCAGACGTGTTAGTTTTCAGGAACTTTATCGGCCAAAGGTGAGATCCACAAAAGGACCCCAGAGGACGACCCGTAACGCACACCCTCAGGAGACCTCCAAGCACGCTCAGCGAGACTCGTGCCCTAGGTGGAAGATGACTGTCTCAGACAAGACTTCGTACCTTCTTAAACCTGTACCACCTCTTCGCCTTCCTTTCCTCTCAGCTGAATACCATTCCTCCTATTTCACCAAGAAAATAAAAGCAATCAAAAAAGAATTTTCTCAAGCTCCCCCCACTCTACCCACCCACCCGCCTGCCCACAGGCTCTGCCTTCTCTCCTGTGAACTCTGGATAAACTGTCCGTTTTCCCATCAAAGATCACCCCTCCCACTAAGGATACATCCCACCTTCTCTCATCTTCTCAAGATGCTCTCTTTGGCCATTCCCCCGACTTCTACATCATTGATTTTCACTCTCTACTAGATTTTTAAAATCAGCATATGAATGTGCTATTATTTCTCCCATCCTAAACAATATTGATATATCCCTCAGGGATGTGAAAACCAAAAGCAGCCCTAGCTGGTTTGGCTCAGTGGATAGAGCGTCGGCCTGCGGACTGAAGGGTCCCGGGTTCGATTCCAGTCAAGGGAACATGCCCGGGTTGCGGGCTCGACCCCCAGTAGGGGGTGTGCAGGAGGCAGCCCATCAGTGATTCTCTCTCATCATTGATGTTTCTATCTCTCCTTTCCTCTCTGAAATCAATTTAAAAAAAAAAAGAAAGAAAGAAAACCAAAAGCAATGGGTAACCCTTCATTGGACCTGGACCTGACACTGAAATAGCAACAATATACGTATATCTGTATATGTATATCTGCATATAAACTATGTTAGTTATTATTGTATCAATATTAAATTTCATGGATACAATGATATCGTGGTTATGTAGGGAAACATCCTTATTTTTAGGAGATAATAAGCTAAAGTAGTGTAAACTTTATGTCTGCAACTTTAAAGTGTCTCAGAAAATACATTGATATACTTAGATAAAGCAAATATGGCAAGATGTAAACAATGCTTAAACTAGTGAACAGAAAATAGTATACACCTTTCCTGTGACTTGGTATTTGTTAAAAATAAAAAACGGGGGGGGCGGGTAGCATACTGTCATAAAAATCCTTTTTTTTTTCCAGAGAGGAAGGGAGAGGGAGAGAAAAGCATCAATGATGAGAGAATATCATTGATTGGCTGCCTCCTGCACACCCCCTACTGGGGATTGAGCCCACAACCCAGGCATGTGCCCTTGACTGGAATGGAACCTGGGACCCTTCAGTCTGCAGGCCGATGCTCTATCCACTGAGCCAAACCAGCTAGGACATAAAAATACTTCTTAAAAGAAATCAGTAATTCTCAAACCAACCAACTGGCACCCCTCTTTAGACCAGCGGTCGCCAACCTTTCAGACCTCACCGATCACCACTTTGCCAGCGGCTAACACTACGTTTCTTTCCCTTCCTTTCCAAACTCCTAGAAAAGGCTGCCTGTTTCCTGATTTCTCTTCTCCCATGAAGGTGTCCTTGAACCCTCTTCCCCATCAGGCGGACTGAAACTGCTCTCATCCATGATCTCTCCAGTTTCCCAATCCAAAGGTCAAATCGCAGCCCTCAACTTCCCGGAACTGGCAGAAACATGGGACACAGCCGGTCAAACCGTCCTTCCCCGGCTCCCAGGATATCACGGTCTCCCTCTGCTCCTGCTGCTGATCCCCAACTCACAGGCTCAGTCCTGAACCTCTCCACCACCAGCTGCGTGCCTAGGACTCCCAGATCTAACTACACCCAGGTCTGGGCCTGTCCTCAGTACTCCACACACATATCCAACTGCCTTCCTGGCACCTCCTGGTGGAATTCGAAAGGCCTCCCAGGCTGAAAACATGTACCTCTTCCTAATCTTTCCCACAAACCTGCTACTTCCTCCATCTGCCCAATTTCAATAAATGGCAACGACACTGTTCACTTAAGCCTAAAACATGGGAGTCATCTTGGAGTCTCTCTGAAACTTCACATCTTATCTATCCATTGACACATCCTGTGGACAACACCTTCAAAACATACCCAGAATCCAACACCAACTTGCTGTCATCCTTGTCCAAAATCTCCCCTGGAATTTGATAACAGCTCCTTATCCGTTTTCCCTGCTTTGAGCCTTGACATTCAATGGTCTATTTTTAATGCAGCAGCCACAGTGATCCTTTTCGTTTGTTTTATGTCACTTAAACCTCTTTATTTTATATGACAATTTCCCTCCTCCTTTTTTTTTCCCTCACAAATTGCCACCAATTTGTTAGGGATACCAAGTCATTTACCCTATAAAATGCCCCACATTTTAGATGTGGCTGACTGTCTCCTCCAGGTGCCTGACACTCATTCCTCTGACACCTGTATTTCCCTGAACTGACGGAGTCAGGTTCCAATTTTTAGACAAGAACCTTTCTCAAGTGGTGCTAGGCATTTCCCATCACACTGCACCAGGAGGCCCATCGTGGCTGGCTGCCAGTGTTCTGCGCCAGGCTGCTCAGTGGCATCAGCCCGACCCCTCCATTCTATTTCCCCATCGTCTTCTCACCTGGTGGTTGCTGCCCAGATCCACTTTTTCATTAGGAGTGACAAGCAGTGATTTTCTAATTCTAGTGCTTTTATTATAGCTGGAATTCTATAAAGAAGCCTACTCTCTCGTTAACCTCGTTTCTCAGAGGTTTGCATACGAAAGGCAGGATAAATTGCTGGATTTTTACCTTCATTAATTTTCAAAGAATTGAATTAAAGCTTTCACAACACAAATTGTGACCAATGAGTTCCTTTTTATGTCTCATTATGAATGCATACATTTTTATATACTTGATGTGTGTTTAATCCATTATAGTCATTATTCTTTTTTGATGCTCAAACTGTTCTAGCTTAAGCCTATGGGAGCCCGATACAATCCATTAACCTTTGTGAATTTACACCCTTCCCAGCACGCTACACCGGAGGCCAGCGGTTTTCAGCAGGTGTGCGTGAGAATTTTTAAAGCATGCAACACCTATTTAGTCAGGGGCACTGAACTATTTTTCCTTAGATTGACAAATTAAAAAAAGACCACAGCCAACACACAGCAGTCCAGTGTGAACGCCCCGTCATGAACAATATATAGGTCATGTACAGAGTTGCATTTTATTGGGTACATCACATAAGGTTGCATCTGATGGGCTATATCTTGGTACCAGAAATCCTTATATACAAGTATGGGCACCTGATATTTTGGAAAAAAGTCACTTTGGGGAGCATCTGAAATCTTGCTTCCTTGGCATGTAGTCTGTTTGGCTCAAATACACTCAAATCAACTCCTTTTCTTTTAAATTGATTTTTAGAAAGAGAGAGAAACAGCGATCTGTTTGTTCATCTTATTTATGCATTCATTGGTTGCTTCTTGTATGTGCCCTGATCAGAGATTGAACCCACAACCTTAGCATACTGGGATGATGCTCTAACCAACTGAGCTACCAAGCCAGGGCCTCAAATCAACTCTTTAAAAAAATTTTTAAAAAATGTCACTGTGAAGCAAAAAGAGTAGGTAATTACTATTATTAGTTTTTGTTAAGTCAATCAGAATTATACCTACTTTTTGTTATAATGGCAAAAAATATCTATTTTTGGTATGCTGCAGAATTTTAGTAATTAGTTTACGTGCTAGGAGATGGAAAAGATTGAAAATCACTTCCTTAGGCTTATGGTGTCTATTTTCAGCTCTAGATCTGAAATCAGCCATTTCTCAACACACACACACACACATACACACAAACACCCTCAGTTCCTTCCAGTGGGAAGTAGCAGAGACCACAACTTGGGCTCTCAGGATGCCAAATGCTGTGTTATTGCCACTGCTTCTAAGACTTTTCAATAAGTAGATTTTTTAGGTAAAAAAATTTTTGAGTCCATATTGATATTTACAGTTCCAGTTTCAGATTTACAGGGCTCTTGTTTTTTTCGTTTACCCTGTAAATTGTGACTCCGATGATACTGCCATGGTTATCTGCTTTGTCTTACAATGTAGCTATCATCATTTCAACCTAATTCCAAAGCTGCTACTAACAGTAAGACTGCTGGATACAGTTTTAGATTTCTGAGCAGTCCTGTGTCCTTAGCCTACATCCCACTAGGGAGGAACAGTCCAAATGTTGTATTTTGAAGTCCCTTGAAGTAATGATTTTCTCTGTGTAGTCACTGCTACAAACTTGGTATGTTTGTTTCAGTGTGTCTGAAAACCCTAGGGATTATTTTCCTTTTTGATTTCCTTTGGGGGTTTATTTTTCCATTGTTTTTCTTGAAAATATAAGCAAACACACTGTCTCTAGTTTCTCTCCCTTCCCTTCTTCCTCAAAAGGCAGCAGTAATGAACCAGAGGGTCCTATGAAGACGTAAGTGGGATCACATCACTTCTCCACTCAAAGCCAATAGCCACACACGCGTGCGCACGCACACACACACACACACACACACACACACACACACGGAATAAGAGCCAAAGCCTTTAAAGGGCACAGCCTGCAAAGCCTGCAAAGCCCTACAATCTGCCTCCTTGTCACCTCATGATCTACCTGACCCTTCCTTCTCTCTCCCTCTCAATTGGGCCCCATTCTAAAGTGGGGTGGGCGGGGGATATAGAGAAGGCGCCCTCCTAGACACACACCAACAAGCAATTCTTGGACACCAGTAGGGTGTCCAAGGTGTACAGCGACATTCAATAATTTATTAGTTTCAAGTGTACAACATAGTGATTAGACAACTCAATTCTGACACTATCTACCCAGAGGTAGCAGCCAACATTGCCGCCAGTGGTCAATATGTCTACAATGGCTGGTAAGTCCTCAGAAAGTATGTGGAGAGAGACACGCTTCGGTTGGAACGTGGGAGTGAGCAGAAGAGAACACGAGGTGCGAGGGCTCTGGGCCCACTTAGCTGCTTAGAGCTGACTCTTTTTTCTTTTTTTAATTTTTTACATTTATTTCACATCATGATTTCTTAGTCCTTATTAAGTTGATACAATTTGGGGACATAAATACTTCCTCTTCCCTTTTTTGTTGCATATGCATTAGTAGGGGTAGGAAGAGCAGAATATTAACAGAATAGGCCAGGGAAGAGGAAAGATAGTGTCAAAGAGAAGAGAGTGTTTATATGAACCCTTCCATAAGCAGTTCCAACCAACCATGTACAAAGTTGACCCCATGAAGTGTTTTCTTTCCATGTGGACTTCTGAAAGCATGAAACAATTTGAGATCATATTCAACATATATTAATTATACAGCATCGTGGTGCAAGTTTCCTATCAGACATGATGAGTACATTGGAGTTGACTCTTAAATTTAGCTCAGAGCTTCTTGTTTTTATTGCCTTTTTAAAAGTTTTTGTTTGTTACTGCACTTTTTAAAAAAATCCTAACCTGAGGATATGTTTTTCATTGATTCCAGAGAGAGAGGAAGGGAGGGGGAGAGAGAGAAACATGGATGTGAGAGAGAAACATAGACTGGTTGTCTCACACATGTGCCCCAACTGGGGATCGAACCCACAACCTTTAGGTGTATGGGACGATGCTCCAACCGAGACACCTAGCCAAGGCTGAATTTCTTTTTCTTTAAATTACAGTGACATTCAATAATTTATTAGTTTCAGGTGTATACCATAGTGGTTAGACATTTACATAACTTACAATGTGAGCTCCCTGATACAGCCAGGACAATTTTTAAAAAGAACAAGAATAAAGAAGATCCCTTTCCATAGATGGAGACTTAGAGCTATACAGTAAGGTAAGGAGGAGCAGTGAATGGCTAGCATTCACCGAGCATTTCCATATTCCAAGCATCACCCCTGGGTGTGGGGCTTCACAACTTGGACAAAGGACTCACCTGCAGCTTGAGGCTCAGGGCCCTGTGCTTCACAGCTGAGGCACAGAGAGCACGTCCCACCCGGATCTGTCCCAGCTGCCGCCTCCACTCGCTCCACCACGCCCTGCCGAAGAGCACAGTGAAGATGGAACCAGTCAGAAAAAAGTCATGCAGGAAAGAGAAGGCTGGGCCTGACTCTCAGCTCGTCCCTCTGCCTCTTGGCACCATGTCCAGGTTGGTATGTTAGAGTCACTGCTAAAAACGTCAATCGAGACAGTCCTAAAGCTACCACGGAAGGTTTGGAAACTGATGGTTCTATGGTCAGATCCAGCCTTAGACAACATGCTCTGTATGGCTTACGAAAATATTTAAGAATATATAATAAATCATTGCCAAGATTTTAAAAACCAGGAGAGTTCACAGAATAACCTGCAAATAAAAGTAGCTTTTAGATTTCTAGTCCTGATGGATCCCTCCCTTTCCTACTGTCCGGGCCAGGTTTCATTCCAGTCTTAGTTTCCCTTCTGCTTATTTTCTAAAAACAGTAATGAGGATATGAGAGTTAGCAACCTCTGCTTTACAGAAACACACAATTTGCCTGGTCACTCCAACCCACCAAAATCTCTTTCCTCCTAACCTAGGCCATGCTAGTTGCGTCACGCACTTCAAAATCTCAAGCTATTTTACATTATTAGTTATCTTTTAGAGCACTCAGGGAATTATAAGTTCCCTGAATGCAGCCCTAGCACCCAATATTGTACCAGGAACATTTTAAGCCCTCAATAAATATACACTGAGTAAATAAAATCATGTAAAAATAACCATTATAGACTCTAGTAGAATTACATAAGAATCTTACAATATTTGCTGAATAAATTTTAAATCATTTCAAAATTATTTTAAATAACTTTCTGTATGTCCATCCTATGTTAAAATACAAAGTGTCTCCATGACAACCTTGAAAGATACTTAATGGTGTGCCTATTTCACAGATGAAAAAAGTGAGACCTGGAGAGGTGAAATGACCCAGTGATACATGTTGGGAGAGGGATGTGAACCCAATCCAGTCTCGCTGGAAAGCCTCTGCCTTATCCATCCTACACACAGTGCCCAGGTAGGAGCATGGGTTTGGCATCAGAAAAATGCGTTTACAACTTACATGAGCTCGAGTAAGTTACTCAACCTTTCTGAGACTTACTGTATATCTTAATCTGTACAAGAAAACTTCTTTTACAGTTTATGGTGAAGATTAAATGAGACACTTTACTTTAAAAAAATTAATATACACACATACTTAATACAGGGTTTAGAACATTGCGCATAATCAATTAGTGTGACGATTATGCAAAAACCAGTGATCTTATAGTTGAACTTGTTAATATTTATTAGGTATCAATTATGTTCAAAACTATTTTAAGGTGGGTTTTTATGCTGCTTCCCGGAGATAAAATGATCGTTGCTCAACTGCAGGGCATCTGAGTGCACTCACCACAAAATGCTCTGCTGCCTAAACTCCAGGGCGGTGGTCTGCATCTGAAATTTGGTTCTTCGAAAAACCACGTAGATCAACCAGGACTTCCAGGCCCGTCGAATCTTTTGCTTTGCATCTAGATGCACCAAAGAGATTTTCAAAAAGAGGGAGGGGGAGATGGGTTACTCTGGGTTATGGTAAAACTCATGGGATTCTGTACTTCTCCCTCCTCTGAATGTCTAAATTCCTCCAGGCTTCAAGTGCCCCCTGCTGGAAAAGTCGTGAAGTTCCACAAAATGAATGAAGATGCAAGAGGATGTGAAGAATGGTTATAGAAGTGATGACAGTTACAAAACATTTAAAGGAAAATCAATACACTGCCCTGTTCAGAAACACTTTTTTAAAAGCCCTTTATTTTTTAGAGATATGTTATGTAACATTTACAGATGAAATTATGTGAATAACACAGGAAGTAGAGGTGAGACTGGTGTGAGTTGATAATTGTTGAAGCCGGGTGGGTGTATGTACATAGAGGTTCCTTATTCCATCTTTCAATTTTGTAGAGATTTAAAATTTTCCATAATATGAAGTTTAAAGAGTAAGAAATCATGTTATAAATCTTGCTGTCTGAAACAATTTTAAAGTAGCATAAGCAAGACAAAAGAAAAGGCTACTATCTCTATCTGCTCGGGAAACAGAATAAGACAGACCAGTAATGATCCTGGAGGAAAGAGAAGTTAGTAGATCTGAAGGTGCAAAGGTCAACAGGTTTCCCTTTGTGGTAAATTCCATTTTTATTATGAAAGTTATCACTAATAAAGTAAACTTTTCTTTTTAGCATACAAAGGAGAAAATAAAATTATAGAAAGCATTTTCAAAATATTCTCTAAAATGTGGTCAATAGGACTAGAGCTATACTTTATATGTCATAGTTGTTGACAAGTCAACTCAAAATATGGAGACAAATTTAACATGTAGCTTCCTCAAGCCCACCGCAGGCCTCAGGAATCCACACACCCTCAGCAACAAGGTCAATAGCATGGTACTATGGCTTAGAGTTGGGTAAGAGGCCAGGTCTGAATACTGGACCTTGTCATTTATTAGGTAAGTAACCTTGCATAATTAGGTAAGTAACCTTATCTATTAAATGATGCCTCCTTAGAGATATGTTTGCAAAGAGTAAATGAGATTATCTATGAAAAGTGTCTCCAATAAATGCAAGCTGTTATGTTCTGCGCATGTATATCCCGGGAATCTGCATTCATCGTCTCTACCAAGAGTCTGATGACAATTTGAGGACCATTCCTCCCTCAGGCCTACAAGTGCCTGCAGACTTTTCATCTAACAGTGAAAGAGTGGACACTCCCTGAGGTCTGTGGACACGGTCTGAAACAATGTCACATGCCAGGAATAACTTGTTTAACAAAAGAAAAATTGATAAATTGGACTTCATCAAAATTAAAAGCTTTTGTTCTGCAAAAGATAGTGTTAAAAGGATGGAAAGACAAGCCCCAGGTGGGAGAAAATATTTGCAAAAGGGGGAAACTATGAATTTGTAGGGGCAGAAGGTATTGCTCCCAAAAAATAAAGTCTTAATAAAGGAAAATAAAAGCCAATCTGGGCATTTCCTTTAGACGTGCACTTCCGTTTCTCACCGTAGTTCTCGGCTCTCGTGTACTTGTTCCTCATGTCCTGCTGCTGGTGCACGTAGGTCCTCCAGGTCTGGAACATCAGGCTGTACAAGTAATACCTGAGGAGCCAAAAAAGCAAATGGCATTTCTTTATAACAAACAATTCCTCATTGATAGGCTTGGTCTGTACTCAGGAGAAATCACGATGGACATTTCCGATACAAAAAAAAGCCATATCTTCATCCTAAGCTAAACTTTCATTGCCTCTGATCACAGTGAAATCTACTGTCCTTGACAGAATGTTGCTCTCCACACCTGACGGTGTCACTGAAGAAAAAAAGCCCAATTTTTCCGAGAATAACTTCACCTTCAGCAGCCATAAAGCCATATTTGGAATGATAGGCATATTTTAGTCATCTTTCTTAAAATATTTTTTAAAATATATTTTTATTGATTTCAGAGAGGAAGGGAGAGGGAGAGATAGAAACATCAATGATGAGAGAGAATCACTGATTGGCTGCCTCCTGCATGCTCCCTACTGGGAATCAAGCCTGCGACCAGGGCATGTGCCCTTGACCGGAATCGAACCCTGGACCCTTCAGTCTGCAGGCCAACCCTCCATCCACTGAGCCAAACCTTAATATCCACAGTATGTAAAATATTACTTCTCCTCTGCACTAAAACTTGGTCAATGACATTTTCTTTCTTTTCCTTCTCAATACATACACTGGACACATTCAAACTGTCAGTCCCTCCATATTTTCACTACCCCATTTCCTTAGACTTGATTTTTCATACTATACCAGCTTTTAAGAATTATTCAGCCCTGACCAGTTTGGCTCAGTGGATAGAGCGTCAGCCTGCGGACTCCAGGGTCCCAGGTTCGATTCCAGTCAAGGGCATGTACCTTGGTTGCGGGCACACCCCCAGTAGGGCGCGTGCAGGAGGCAGCTGATTGATGTTTCTCTCTCATCGATGTTCCTAACTCTCTATCCCTCTCCCTTCTTTTCTGTAAAAAAATCAATAAAATATTTTAAAAAAAGAATTATTCAGTACATCTATTTTATCAAAAATATGTAAATCAGAACTCCTACCCCAAAGAACCTAAATAAAGAAGTGACTTTTTTCCCCCAGAGAACTTCAGTCCTTAAGGACTTAGCTCCTTCCGTGGGCTTTGGTGGAGGCGGTGGGGCAGCACCCGCAGGTCTGAATCAAGGTGGCGGGGGGTTGGTCCTTCCGGGCCTCACGAGGACGATTCCTGACCACCTCTCTGTGAAGGCACAGCTCACACAGCCGTGTACTTTCACATGCAGCTTGGGAAGCACATAGGCAGAAAGACACTTGCTTCAGAAATGTCCCTAATGGCAAGGGCCTGCACTATGTTTCAAAGGACAACTCCTTGCCCGTGGGCACGCATTGGGTGCAGGTGGCGTGCCTGCACATGGCCACGGCCTTTTGGTAAAGGCCATTGTTCCTTCTTTTTTGGGAAATGTAAACAAGGGCCTGAGGGCGAGAGTAAACACCATTTTAAACAATGTGTCAGATTTATTGGGCATATATTTTCTCCTATAATCAGTATAAATTAAAACAACTTACGTTAAAGAACAGAATATTCTCAGAATAAGAAATTATAAATAAGTGAAAGCCAAGCAGAAAACCTTATTCAAATCACTAGCATGACCAGCACATAATGGTTATTTGAACTAGAGGAGCGGTTCTCATGCATGCGCCCTAACATGCACGTGTGCTTGGGTTTAAAGTAGGATTCTGATCTTGCGGATTCTAAAACAACGATTCAGAACGTGTCTCTGTTTGACCATAAACATGCCAAGGAATTACCTGATAATGTGCATCACTAAACTTGAAGTCACATAAATGAAATCTGACCTGTAGTAACAGTCTGCTCGAACACAGAGCTTCCACTCCCGCTGGGAAACCCACCACTCTCCTTTCCATTCTTCAAAGACCTTCCGGAGCACCCTCTGCTTATAGTAACACCTAGGGCAACGGGAAAAATCAGGGGGACATGAGGATATTAAAGCTGATCTCTAGTCCCAAGTCAGTTTCATTTTACCATTGCTTTCGCGTAGTAAAGTGTGGCTCATTATTTGGTAACACCAACATAGATTAAAAATAGACATTTAACTTTTTCAGATCAAAACCGTATATTATAGATCTTACCAACTAAAGGCATTAAAGTAAAATAAAAATCTGACTTTTCAAATACCATACTGAATTGAGAATTATTCTCAATTTTTTTCATGCACCAGACTAAAAATATTCTTGAGCCCTGGACAGTATAACTCAGTTGGTTGGAGCATTGTCCTGTATACCAAAAGGTCACATGTTCAATTCCCAGGCAGGGCACATACCCAAGTTTTGGGTTCGATCTCCACACTGGGGGGGTGAGGGAGGGGGGAGGAAAACAATAATCAATGTTTCTCTCTCTTTCTCTTCCTCTCTCTTTAAAATCGATAAACATATCCTCAGGTAAGGACCTGATTTGATGTAAAGGGAACCCAAGTGATGGAATCCTAGCTACAGGAGGAAGTTGAGGCAAAAAGATTTTTTTTTCCCAGAATGGGAAAAATGACTGAATGTGACCCATTAAAGAGGGAAAAATTGACGATGCAAAAAAAAAAAAAAGAAGAAAAAAAACAACACTTGCTACATTGATGGCCTTGAGTAGGCACAAGGGGAATATCATGCAAAAGTCAAGGATTTTGCCACAAATGAGAGCATGGACAGTTCATCTGCCCACCAGCTGGGAAAGCAGGCTACATGGGACAGATGCTGACACTGTGTAAATATAGTGGAGGTCTCTTCTGCTGCTTCTAAACCCGGAAACAAGGACACTAGCTACAAATGAGGAAGAAATACTGATTAATAATAAATGGACATGCCTGTTTTATCTACTTCCCAAGTTAGACAAATTTTGCTCAGATCTTCTCTTCAGAAAAACAGGGGACTACTTCAGATCTAAGACTGCCTTATATATGGACACTTACTGTATTATTTTTGCCCTACTAATTCAGTGGTCATTTTGGTTTAGTTTACTGATAAAACAATTCCAGTTTATAAAAATTAAAGCATTCTTTAATGGCTATATTCTATAGTTTCTGATATGTCATTCCCCTCTAATATTCCTAAATGTGAGAAATAGGTAATTCAATATGAAAAAAGACAAAAAAAAAAAAAAAGAAAAATCAATATGTCCAAACCTCCCCAAAGTAACAACCCCCTTGACCTAAAAAAAGATTGCAGCCTGGCCAGCGTGGCTCAGTGTTTGAGCACTGATCTACTAACCAGGAGGTCACGGTTCCACTCCGGGTCAGGGCACATGCCCGGGTTGCGAGGGGCATGCAGGAGGCAGCTGATCAATGATTCTCTCATCATTGATGTTTCTCTCTCTCTCTCCCTCTCTGAAATAAAATAAAAGACTGCAAGTTGAAAACCACCACTCCATCACAAATTTCTAATCAATGAAAACACCGTATCAGAACTAATTCTGGTAGATGCCCAAAGCCATAACTTATCCCCAGATCAAACAATTAGCTCCGATCTGGGTGACAACCAAAACTCAGGTCTCCTAAACTCCCGTCCAGTATTCTTTCCCCTATACCCGGCCACCACTAAAGAGCAGAAAAAGTAGAGAGAGAAAGCAGTGTGACAAACACCGGTCAATGGCTAACCCAACACCAATACTGCACTTCCTCATGGGCATCTATTACAGAGGCAGCCTCCTCTGTACCCTCAGGTGGCCAGTGACACACTCTGACCAAGGAGGCCGAGCAGAATGCAGCTGGGGGCTTCCAGGAGCACTGTGCTTTCCCGATAGGGACAGGTGGAGCCGATACCACCTTCCCCCTCCTTCCTGGGTACAGCTAGATCGGTCACCTTGCAATTATGCGGTGTCACCTCTGAGGACAAAGGGCCAACACGCTAAGGATGGTGAACTAGAAAGGTACTAGAAACCCAAGTCTTCGATGGCATCGCTGAACCAATACCAACCTCCAGACTGCTTCTGAGAAAAAGTAAATCCCAGTTTAAGTCACTGCCAGACTTTCTCGAGTCAAACACATTCCTAACTAAAACAATCAGCATTTCCCAAACACTTGGAATATAAGTTGATATTATTTGAAAAGAGATTTCCAGTTAAATATGGGTCAAATTTAAGTTAAATAAAATTAAGTAGGAAGAGGATTTGGGGAAGATGGTGAAGGTGGCAACGTTTTTCAATCTCTGAATCCCCATAAAACACACAGAGCAGCCAGGTATCAAAACCAAAAACTCATGTATCAATTACAACAAAACTAAGTGACGAGATATCCTCATGAATCCAAAATGCAAGCAGGAGAGGGCAAATGACTCACAGTCAAAACAGTATTAACATTTGTACAGACAAAAAAGGAGCAATGAGGTGGCATGTGAGGAATGTAATAAAAGTTATGTTGCCCAGCCGGCGTGGCTCATGGTTGAGCATCGACCTATGAACCGGAGGTCACGGTTTGATTCCTAGTCAGGGCACATGCCTGGGTTGGGGGCTTGATCCTGTGTGGAGCATGCAGGAGGCAGCCAATCAGTAACCCTCTCTCCCCCTCTCCCTTCCTCTCTGAAATCAGTACAAAATATATATATATATATTTTTAAAAGTTATGTGAATGGGATCTCTCCTTCTCTCTCAGCAAACTAGTACCAATTTCTTCTTCCTTCTTCACAAGTTCATGGATAGAAGATTCATTCTTACCCTACATCTTAGCAACTTCAGCGTACTTTCTTGGGTTTTTTTTCCTTATTAAGTCAATAACTTCTACCTTTTCACGTAAAGGAAGCACTGTGGCTTCTCTTTGGCATATCCAAATTGCCAACATCACTTTGGGGCCATTATTAAGTAAAATAAGGGTAAGTTGAACATGAGCACTGTGATATCGCAAGTTGATCTGATAACTGAGATGGCCACTAAGTGACTAACAGGGCGGGCAACGTGTATCCGATGGACACTCGGGATAAAGGGATGATTCACTTTCTGGGCAGGACAGTACGAGGTTTCATCATGTTACTCAGAATGGCGTGCAATTTAAAACTTACAAATTGTTGATCTCTGAAATTTTCCATTTAATATTTTCGGATCTCAGTTGACCACAGGTAACAAACTGCAAAAAGCGAAACTTTCACAAATTAGGGGGACTACTTTATATTCTTTTTTAAAAAAAAAAACTGATTTTATTTATTTTTCTTTTTTTATATTCTTATTGATTTCAGAGCGGAAGGGAGAGGGAGAGATAGAAACATCAATGATGAGAATCATTGATCAGCTGCCTCCTGCACGCCCCTTCTCCCCGCCATTGGGGATCGAGTCCACAACCTGGGCATGTGCCCTTGACCGGAATCAAACCTGAGACCCTCAGTCTGCAGGCTGATGCTCTATCCACTGAGCCACACCAGCTATAGCTGTATATTATACTCTTCAGGACAGTCCTTAAAAGAAAAAATATATAACTTCTAAGCCAACATGAATAAAAAAAATAACAAAACAAGAGATTTCTGATAATGGCAAACTAGATAATTCAGATCAATTCTCCTACTGAGGACAAGAAAAGCAGATCAAAAAAATTATTTGAGGGCACTAAAGAGCTGCCAAGGCAGTGAAGAAGGACAGGGCCACGGTGCAGAAGGGAGAGCTGAGGTGAGCGGCCCCTAACCCCTGCAACTGGGATGGGCTGCTGCCACACTGGGAGCATCGCTGGGCACAAGGAGATGGGAACAGTAAGGCCCCACAAGGTATTCAAAGGAAAGGTTTCAGAGAGCACACACAGGACAAAGCTGCTTGAGAGACCTTGAACCAAGAGGCCTTGGGAAATGTTCCAGGCTGGGAAAGCCAGGCTCAGAAAAGTACAACGGGAGAGAGGGAAGGAGGCGAGAACCCGTAACATTTGTTTTTTAAAAAACGCTTATATTCTCAATGGTTGCCATTCTCCCTCTAAAAAATGCCCTACACTGGCCCCTCCTCTCCATCCCCACTACCTGCTGCACAGTGTCCCTGACCCGGGGGCGCCCCCTTGCTGCCCACTCTGGACGTGGCAGCTAAAACTATCAACCAAAACCCAGAGCAGTGAGCGGTGGATTATACCAAGTGAAGCTATGGCAGAGGGACTTTCTCTTGACTAAAATTTCATTCCCATTGCCAGTACCAACGTTTTCCGTAGAACAAGTCAATGTGTTCATCTTGCCCTTCAAAGGGCTCACTGACTCTGGGCAAATACCTTTTTTCCCAGAGGCTATTAGCTGTCCTGGTTTCCTTTCTGATTCTTTCGTACACTCATTCAGTCAAACTAATATGTATTAAATTACCCCTTTATTATATGCCTGCTGGAGGCCGGGGAAGGAATGTTACACACACCATAATAAATGTTATGTGTGGGCTTAATATAAAAACAGAAGCCCAGAATGAATGCAGTGGAAGCTCGGTGTTCCGAGCTAATACTACCTGGCTTTAGAGGGAAATACTCTTCCAAAAGTTTTTCGAATCCACAAATACAAGAACTTCCTGGCCACACATCTGAAAGATGAAAAGAAAGGACATGCACATTTTAAAACTCCATTTGGCCTATTTCATCAGTTTTCTGGAAAGGAGAGGGAAAGTTTAAGGCCCCAGAGGGAGAGAAATGCTAGTGTGAGTCAAAAGGTGAATCATGGCTAATCTTGCATCAAACAGAGCGTACGATGGGACAGATTTATAAAGCTAAAATCAAGCAGATTTTTTAAAAAATACTTTCAGTTTAAAGTATTTTGTCAATGAAGACTTCAGCCCAGCCAGTGTGACTTAGTGGTTGAGTGTCGACCTTTGAACCAGGAGGTCACGGTTTGATTCCCAGTGGGGCTCGATCCTAAATGTGTTAGATGTGCAGGAGGCAGTTGATCAATAACTCTCTCTTATCACTGATGTTTCTAGCTCTCCTTCCCTCTCCTTCCTCTTCGAAATATATATATGTATGTATGTGTCTATATATACATATTTAAAGACTTCGGAGTTGAGGAAAAGGAAGTACATGATAATGCTTTTGTTTGTATTATTCCTCCTTCCTAAAATGCCTGGCATATGCCCACCTACCCATCAAGGCGCATCTTCAATGCCTGCTCCTATGTGAACCCTTATTGGACCTTCCTCAACCCAAACAGGGTGAATGCTCTGTGCTCTCAGCACTTTATTCTATTCTGGAACATTATGCCACCAAATCACGGTCATGGATTTGCAGGGTGCCTCTTGTTCCCTCTGCCATGAGCTCCTGAGAGCAGGGACTGGGCCTTACAGTATCCCCAGTACCTAGTGCACACACAAAAAGTTGACTTTTCTCAGCTGTTAACCTCCAGGTTTAATTGGGAATGTTTTTCTTCCTCCTGCCCTTTACCTGGCGGATTCTTACATCATCCTTCAGGAGTTGGCTTAAACTCCGCTTCCTGCAGGAAGTCACCCCTGACTACACTAGCATGGCTGCCCCTGACACATGAACCTACCTCTGGTACCACATCCTCTCCTTTCACTGCACTTACCACACTCTGTTGTTGTGACTTATTTAACAGTCTATCAAGCATCCCTGCTCTTAAACTTCGGTCAGGTCAAGGGACCAGGAATGCCTTCTTCGCCTGGTATTGCTCAGCATCTACATAACACTGGCAAAGTGGGGAGCGTGCAAGAGGCACCTGGTACATTTTACTGAATGCATAAATGGATGGATGCCTTTGATGGCACTAATCAAGAGGAATAGAAAATAATCATTTTTCTTGGACCATGTTTAGACTTTTTTTTTTAGTAACTTACACATTGTGGGGTACTAACTAGAGAACGTGAATGAAAACACGCAATGACAGGTTTTATGTCTGCTGAGTCCTAAATATTTCTTTTTCTTCTGAACATTCTGCCATGAAAAGCAGGCATGAAGGTGTCCAACTAAATGAGATAGGAGAATAAGAATCGTCCAATTTTTTTTTTTACTAAAATTTATATTTACAGAGAGGAAGAGGGAGAGAGAGATTGAAACATCAATGATGAGAATCATTAATCAGCTGCCTCCTGCACGCCCCCCACTGGGGACCAAGCCCACAACCCAGGCATGTGCCCTTGACCGGAATCAAACCCAGGACCCTTCAGTCCCCAGGCCGATGCTCTATCCACTGAGCCAAACCAGCCAGGGCTCGTCCCTCTATTTTAACCAAGAAGGGAGAACAATGAGAAATTCACTGCAGGCAGGTGACCACTCACATGCTCACCTGATGCGCAATTCTTTTAACCGACCCCTTTGGGTCCCAGCGTGGTGCCCTGGATGGCCGGAACGAGGTATCGCACTCCGGATCCCAGGGAAGGCAGAAGACTTCTTGTTGGCCAGTATCTTTGGAGAATAAAGTTTCTTAACTGCACCATCCCTAAAAGACCTTAAATTTGAGGAGTAAGGGGGAACAGAATCAAATTATCTCTGCATGTGCTGCAAATACCTTTACACGTTTAAGTGAAATTAAATAAACTCTTTGAGACAGACAGATAACTATGCTTCAAGGACACCAAGCAGCCCAATCTCTGACAGAAATACCTGCAGGCTCTAGGCATCAACTGCAGAGCTACAGGGCACCTTGGAGTCATGAGTCCTAACATTTTAATGTCATTTTAAGAGTAACCATTTATAAATTAAAAACATTCTTTTAGCCCTAACCGGTTTGGCTAAGTGGATAGAGTGTTGGCCTGTGGACTGACAGGCTAAACACTAAATTTCTGACTTTTAATCCTGCTTTAGAAACATTAAGAGTTTACATTATTGGGGTGAACTCATGATTATCGATGTTTCTCTCTCATCGATGTTTCTAACTCTCTATTCCTCTCCCTTCCTCACTGTAAAAAATCAATAAAATATATTAAAAAAAACACATTCTTTTATATAGAAAGCAATTAGGAATGATTTTCAGATGTGACTTTTACAACAATATGAAACCACATACTTTTACTAAACACTAAATTTCTGACTTTTAATCCTGCTTTAGAAACATTAAGAGTTTACATTATTGGGATGAACTCATGATTTTTTAAAAATGTTTTTAATATATATTTATTGATTTCAGAGAGGGAGGGGGGAGAGAGAGTGAGAGAGAAACATGAATGATGAGAATCATGAATCAGCTGCCTTCTGCACACCCCACACTGGGGATCGAGCCCACAACCTGGGCACGTGCCCTTGACCAGAATCGGACCCTGGACCATTCAGTCCACAGGCTAACGCTCTATCCATGGAGCCAAACCGGCTAAGGCTGAACTCATGATTTTTAAGAAATGTGTGGCAGGTGCTCTCCCCTCCAGGGAGTACGGCCCTGTACTGTTCCCTTCTCCCTTTTCTCCTCCCTCCCTCCCGTCATGTATCCCCTATCCTCTAAGGCAGTGGTCTGCAAACTGCAGCTCGCAAGCCACATGCGGCTCTTTGTCCCCTTGAGTGTTGCCACGAAGTTTCAATCGCACTGTACGTGCGCGCCCGCACGTGGTGTTTTGTGGAAGAGCCACACTCAAGGGGCCGCAGTTTGCCGACCACTGCTAAGGGACCCCGTGAGGCTTGCAGCCAGGGGAGCAATGGACAGCTGCAGCTCGTCCAGGGCTAACTCCTTGAACCTAGCTCCAAACAATAGGCAGCTGCAGCTCGTCCAGGGCTAACTAACCCTTTGAACCTGCCTCTGACTTCCTAGTGAGCTAAGGCAGCCCACCCTAGGCTTTCCTGGTGCTTCTCCTATGCCCGTCCTTGTTTCACTGTGCTATGTTTTTTGCTGAGGTCAATAAATTCTTGCTTGCTTTTCTAAAAAAAGGAAGGAAGGGAGGGGGGAAGAGAGGAAGAAAGAAAGAAATGTATAGCAGAGCTCTACCTGCAGGAAATACTTGGAAGCAATGATATTCCATTAACAATGAGCACACACAGAGCTTAAACACTGTTTATAAAGTGCCATTCCCTACTAAAAGGAACCAGGGCTCCTTGGAGATATGATTTCAGCTCTGAAACAAGGGAAATGCAAGATGAGCCTGGAATACCTTTTTAGGTCAGAAGGTAAAGAAGTGTTCAAACAATGACGGGGCATGTGAACCATCTGTACACCACAAGCGTCTATGGACCAAGGCTGTCTCATTCACTGGGGTAGCCCCACAGAAACAAGTGGGTGCTAGTTTGATAAGGAACAGGATGTTAATGTAGTTTCAAAAAGTTATCTACACACACACACGGTTGCCCCTTTCAACTGCTAAGCATCAAATTCATCAAGGAAAATAATGGAAGGAGCCGCCATTCCTGCTTTTTGGATGCTCTAACACAGTGGTTCTCAACCTTGGCTGCACATCAGAATCACCTGGGAATCTTTTTAAAATCCTGATTTCTGGGCCTCATCCTCCAGAAATTCTGTTTCTTTGTAATGGGGTGGGCCACAACATTAGTAACAAAGAAACAGAATTTCTCGGAGGATGAGGCCCAGAAATCAGGATTTTAAAAAGATTCCCAGGTGATTCTAATGTGCAGCCAAGGCTGAGAACCACTGCTCTAACAGCTCTTCCAGATTCACCAACATACTTATTAACTCAGGTCCCTTTCTGCAAGAAAAATCCAGTCCCCTCTCAATGGCCAAAGCCTTTACAACCATCCAGGTTATAAAGCATCCAGTGGCCCCTACAGAACTCCTTCCTGGCCGACCCCCGGGCCGGGACAGGCTGCACGTGGGCGAGGGCCAGCCCATGGCCTGCTTCAATGTCAGTTTGCTACGGCCCAGTCCTCCTCTATCTGACCAGGACACACAGAGACCCACCGCCACCTCCCTCACCCGCACGGGGCCTGCAGGAAACCAGCGTGACCTTCACCAGCCCCGCCACCTCGCTGCGCTGCCGGGGCCAGGCTGCTTCTCCAGGGCGCCCCGCGAAGGCAGTCCTGTCCCCGTCCCGCCCGGGAGAGGACGGTCCAGGCTGTCCATTCACTGGGGCGGCCCCAGCACCCACTTCAGGGCCTGGCTCCAGCAATGAATCAAAATCAAAACTTTCACGATGGCTGTGCCACACACTCAAAACGGTTTGACTGTAACGTAAGGTATGAAATGTGCATTATACTCTACACAGTGGGTGAGAAACCAAAAAAATGAACAACAACAAAAAAATCCTTACCCAAACTTCCTATCACATCCCCCATGCATGAATTGAGAACAAAAACTTTAAAAAATAAAATCATATACTATTTTCACACACAAAATATTTACAGGCTTTTATCTGAGCCATCATTTCAGTTATTTTGTGTGTGTGTGTGTCAAGTCACATCACTCACCTGGAGTCAACCTTCCTCTCCATTCTTCACTTAATCTCTTTTTTTTTTAATGGAAATTCAACCAGGGGCTTGATATACACTCTTCTGAGTGAGCAGATTCTTCATGAGTCAAAGCCTTTATTTTCTCTTCTAACTACAGGAAAAAAGGAGAAAAGGAGGGGGTGTATTTTTGAGAGAGGACGGAAGAGAGAGAGAAAGACAGCAACAGCCTTTGGCTGCCTCCCCGTGTACCCCCGGCGGGGGACGAACCTGCGACCCAGGTACGTGCCGGCCAGAACCGAACCAGCAACCTCCCGGGGCGCGGACACCCCTCCGCCCTCCGCCCGCGGGGCCACGCCGGCGGGAACATCCATCACCCGCTTTTCAACACAACGACCCCGACCGGAGCGGCCATTTCCACGCAGAAACCAAGGGCCCACGGTGTCCAGCTACCAGCGGTTCTCAACCTGTGGGTCGCGAACAATGAAAGTCCATCCTGCATATCAGACATTTACGTGACGACTCATAACAGTAGCAACATGACAGTTATGAAATAGCAATGAAAATAAGTTTATGGTCGGGGGTCACCACAACATGAGGACCTGTATGAAAGGGTCGCGGCGTTAGGAAGGTTGAGAACCACTGAAAGCGGCCCCGCGGGGACAGGTGCTCGGTCCCGGCACCATTCCCGCCACGAAGACGATGCACCTGCGCGGAGGTCAACGAGGGGTCGGACGGCCTCGCGGCCGGCCGCTGAAGCGAAGCCCTCCTCGCCCTGAGGGGGGGCTCCCTCACAATGTGGGCCCGGGGGGCTCAGGGAGCCCCTGTGGTGTGTTTACACTCGCCCCTCGCCGGCTACGCAGCAGGGGGACACGGACGGACACGGACACACACACCCCCCGAATCGGAGCCTGGCACGGACGCGGGGCCAGGCACACGCCTGCAACGCACGGGACGCGCGGGAGGAGGCGGCGCCCGGGTCCGGCTCCGCGACGCTGACGAGCAGCCGCCGCCAAAACGACGCGAGCGCCGCGCTGGGCACGGACAGGCTCCGGGGGCCGCCCTGCGCGCCCTTCCCTCGCCTCCTCCGCTCCCCACCCGGCCCCGGGGGTGGGCGGCGTCACCTGCACTTCTAGACGGGGAGGAGGACGGGGAGGAAGCCGAGGCTGCCTCAGGAGGCACCCGGCCCAGTTCCGAGAGACAGGCGCGCGCCGGCCGCTGGGAGCGGCCCCGAGAGGCTGAGCCTCAAGAAAGCGGGGGGACCCTCGGACCCGGCCTCGTACCTGAGGAAGTCAAGCCCTCGCGAGTAGCGCCTCAGGCGAGTCCGGGCGGGAGCCGGCGGACGCCCACCCATTTCCGGCGCCCGCGCGGCCCACGCAGGCTCTGCGCTTCCCGCGCCTCGGCGAGCGGATCTCGCGCCGGCCCCGCCCACGTCTCCAAGGCGACGCGGCGTGCGTGAGGGACGCGGCGCCTGGGACCAGGGAGTTCGCGCAGCCGCAGTGCGTCAGGAGACACGCCCCCCTCTGGCAGCCTCGCACTGTCCGGGCGCACCTGGGTGGGGGGCGCGTCGTTCTGCAGCCCCCTAATTAAAATTATCCCAGGCTGATAACTACATTTTAAGGGAAGGATTCAGAAGCTAACAAGCACTAGTTGTTAAAATTTTAAATTGGGGGTCCACTCTTGATCATCTTTTAAAAATCGCAGTGGGTGAAGGTAAGAGACATTTTTACGTGCTTTTCTCCTGTGCTTTGTAAAATATCGCTTGAAAGCACTTGAGATATCTGGTGGAAAGAGTAAAAGCTAGCTAGTATCATACATTTAAATGCTTGAAAGGTTTTACGTTAAAAACATGAGGAAAAAATTGTTGGGTGTCTCAGGATTAGAATATTAGGTAATTTGCATTTTTGCCCTATTTTCTACATGTTAATTTTTTAAAATATATTTTTATTGATATCAGAGAGGAAGGGAGGGACAAACATCAATGATGAGGAAGAATCACCCATCGGTTGCCTCTTGCACGCCCCCCACTGGGGATCCAGGCAGCAACCCAGGCATGTGCCCTTGATCGGAATTGAACTCAGGACCCTTCAGTCCACAGGCTGACACTCTATCCACTGAGTCAAAACAGCTAGGGCTGAGCAGAGCTTCTTGAAAAAAATTTTTATTTCCTTGATCCAGGTTGTGGTTGCATGAGTTTGCCTTGTGAAAATTTATTGAGATGAGAGCCCTTAGAATTTGTATACTTTTCTGTATGTATATACTTTTCCAATACATTTATTTTTTATAAAATGCTACAATGAGACATGTTTTTGCAAGCACAGGTAAATGTAGTTTACAGATGCCCCCCTTTAGTAAATTACTACCTTTATTTCTAGGTAATAATTGTCTTCTTTCACAAGCACAAATTGAGACTCATAGAGGTAAGGTGAGACCAAGGTTCCACAAGACATTCACGAGCCTAGTGGAAGAGTACATACTAACTAGGATAAGCCCCAGGGCCTAGGAAATTAGCTCCAGGCCAAGCCAGTATCACCACAGTAAATTGCCTTGAGATTTCACGTGTGACTTGTGGTAATTTTAAAATACTCTCACACATTCTTTCAACACTCCTCCCATATAAAGGTGGAGTCTACGTCCCCTCCCCTTGAACATGGGCCAGTCCTGGTGACTCCTAGCTAAAGAACAGACAGTGGCACAACAGACACTGAGTGATCTTGAGGCTAGGTTCGAAAAGAAAATTCAGCAACTGTCTGACTCAGAATCCAGCCACCATCTTGCCACAGAGAAAGGCCATGTGTCAGTGTTTCAGCCAATTCCGAGGGCCCCAGCTGACAGCCACCGCCAACCATCAAACATGTGAGCCACTAGGTATGATCCTAGGTGATCCTAGCCCCCAGCCTCCCACCACCACAGCTGATTCTCAATGGAGCAGAGACCAGCTGTCCCAGATAAAACCGCCCAAAATGCAGATTGGAGTGCAAAATAAATGTGGAGTGAAGCCACTGAGATTTGGGGTCGTTTGTTACACAGCAATAGAGAACCGGAACAGTGTTTTTAATATGTCTAATTTCCACTACAAGCTTAAAAAGTAGATACTACTCGGCCAGTGTCGCTCGGTGGTTGAGCATTGACCCAAGAGGGAGAGAGGGAGGAGGGGAAGAGAGAAAAACATCTATGTGAGACACATAGATTGGTTGCCTGGAACATGCACCCCAAAAGGGGTGGGGATCTAACCTGCAACCCAGGTACCTGCCCTTAACCCCTTGACCAGAATGGAACCTGAGACCCTTGGTTCACTATCAACGCTCTAACCAATGTACAACACCCACCAGGACACAGCTTGGTTTTTAAAATAATTAAAACGACCATAATGTTTCTCTGTATAGGCTTAAAACACACACACACACACACACACACACACACACACACACACACACAGCAGCTTTATGGAGGTTGTATGAGGCCTTTTGCCCACCTTCTATTTAATCTCTACAACAGCGATGTGAGTTATCATCATCCCAATTTTACAGATGAGAAAACCCGGGCTAAGAATGAATAAATGGCCTAATTCTCCGCCGCCTATAGGGTGTGGTAGGGCTGGGAGGCAAATTCGGTCCATTTGCAAACGCTTCCCTCTGCCTCTTGCTTGAAGAGAAAATAGAATTTGTGAGAAACACATTGTTATTTCGTATTACAGAGGAAAAGAAAAACGTTTACGTCCCAATTTTCTCTGTTGCCAAGACTCATAAGAAGAAAACTTGGTGATCAGTGTCCGGTCCCTGGGTTTCACACGAAAATTAAGCTCAAAGAAAGTAGGTCCCTTAAAAAAACAACGCCATCCACACCCATGTGTCATTCCTTTCACACAAACCCTGGGCGGCCACAGGAGCGGCGATGATCCTGCCGAGCAGGCTCACAGGGGACCTGTCAGGCCTTTTCTGCCCGCTCCTCCCCCGGACCACACGGGAGGGAAGTCATATTTGCTTTTCCGTGTCCCCTTCTGAGTGTCCGCACTCGGGACTCGGCGCTGGGCGACCATTTCCACCCAAACACACTGGCGCTTCCCCTTCCCGGCAGACGGCGAAATGATGGGCGGGAAACACACTTCCATGAACTTGCTACCCGCCTCCCGAGACATCCACGGCAAGCGAGAGGAGCCATGGATATAAACATTCTAAAAGACTGAATCACTTTATCAAGTAACATCTTAGAACATCTTATCAGTGCTATGATGGACACTTTTCATAGCTAACATTTCGGCAACCACACCAACGGTCACAAAGTTTGGTGGCTGAGGTCTTGGAAATAAAGTAAGCAAGTTAATCAGCCCCCAAACCCTCACTGACAGTGCATATTCTGAATCAATTAGGTGTTATTTTTCTATGCCTTTACTGCTTTCATTCCTAATTCCTTTCTTCTTTTATTTTCATGCTCCACTTTAAAGAGGAGATGCTCACCTACTTAATTCTATGGCAAAAGTCTCTCCTTAATACAAGATAAGGCCACTCAACTGACTCAG